TATTTATAATCCTTTATAATCCCTAAATCCTTAAAAAGCAAGTTGACCCAAATGTTTAAATAAGGACTTTATTTATGAACTGAATATTTCTGATTCTCTTGGGATGTCATTATCTGGCTACATATGAAACAGTATTCACTTATGCATGCTTCAGAAACTTCATATATTACTGTGCATTTGTTAGTATGTGAACAAAGAAACTTGTTTTGGTTGTGAGCAAAATGCAGATTTGTTCTCAAAATTGAGTTTTAGTATAAACTCAAATAGGTTGGCAGAAGAAGAGTTTAATTTTTATGTATCTAAATAAGGTCTCTTTCTTCATTAAAAGAAAATTAAAACCAAGCCCCACACCCTTATTGAATCTGTCCCAATAAGATGCTTTTTGGGTTCTTGTTTGTGCAATAGTTGGTTATTATTTACTTTGTCTGCAAATGTCTGCAAACAGAAATGACGTAGATACTGTTGCTCCGACAAAACTAAAAAAAGATTTTCACTAAAAGTACCCAGATCATATCAGTGGGAATAAATCCACTGGCCTCGGTGTATTTGCCCTACAAGGATCTGTGTTTTTGCAGTAAATATTGTAATTGGAAGTATATGTTCTTGTAGACTAAAGTTTTACTTGAGGACATTTTTCAGTTAGGCATGTTTATTTTGGGGGTTTAGTATTGTCTTTCCCCTTATTTATTTTTACTTATCTGTATGAGCAGAAGCTACAGCCAGCTCTCTCAGCCCTTAGCCTATTCTAAATTGCTGACTCCTTTTCTTGAAGATGGAGTGTCCCCTTTCTGGGTGTCTCTAACCTCATCCTTGCCTCCCCCCGCAGGCCTTTTCTGCCTGCGATTCCTCAGTTTCTCTACACCTGAAATGTTGGGGTATCCCAGGGACCTGTCTTGGCTCCCTTCCTTTACTTTCCCTCCCAGATGTGAGCTGCTCATGTCCAGTCTAGAGCCCCTGTCTTGGACTCTAGGCCCACTTACCCAGCTAGATGCCTTTACTTTCGAGTCTTCCTGGTCTTACTCAGCGTAGACAAAAGCAGAACTCATTGCACTGTCTCCCCAAACCTTCTCCCCTCTGCACTCCCTCTGTGAGCTAGTGGCACAGCCATCCGCATAGAAACCCAAGCCCGAGCCCTGGCACCATGCGCCGTCTTCAGTGTCCTCAGCCCCCCAGCCAGGGCACCACCAAATCCTGTTGGTCCTGTCTTCCAGAATCCTTCATTCAGCCTTTCTCTCAGCCTTCAGGGCTTAGTTCTCAGTTCAGGCTCTCAACATGCCCCATCTCAATTACTGTAAAGGATTCTAACTAAACCTCTTCCTCTGGGCAGGGACTCACTTACATTCATCTCACATTTTTGAATCCCTGGCTCTGGCATCTAGAGATGCCTAGAAAAATGTATAGAAATCAAATGAAGTAAATGACTCAAGTCCTCCTTGCAAATAGGTGAGTCTAGGACGGAGTTATAAAGATAAAGAATTTAGGATTTTATCACAAGTGGACATTATGCCTTCATTTTTTTAGAAAATAGTGCCCCAGAGGCCGGGCGCGGTGGCTCAAGCCTGTAATCCCACCACTTTAGGAGGCCGAGGCTGGTGAATCACCTGAGGGCAGGAGTTCAAGACCAGCCTGACCAACATGGAGAAACCCCATCTCTACTGAAAAAATACAAAATTAGCCGAGTGTGGTGGCATATGCCTATAATCCCAGCTACTCGGGAGGCCGAGGCAGGAGAATTGCTTGAACCTGGGGTGCAGAGGTTGCAGTGAGCCGAGATTGCGCCATTGCACTCCAGCCTGGGCAACAAAAGCAAAACTCCGTCTCAAAAAAAGAAAGAGGAAAAGAAAACAGTGCTCCAGGTCCGTTCTGGTAGAGGGTTTTATAAACTTACACACAGGTAGAACCCGTTTTTTCTTTAGTCTCTTAGTATACTTGACTAACTTAAAGTAATGTTTAAATGGCATTTGGTTTTTTTAATTATTTGCAATTTGTTGTTGAAACTATATTTGGCAGTATGCCCTTTGCCTTCAAATGTTCTGAAATTGTTAGTCTTCTGATCAGGATTCCAATGATTTTTGTTTTTAGACCTCAGTTATCTCCTTTATATCTGTATTACGCATAACTTCTTGGTGCTTGTGAATGACAGGGCACACCTTACCCTGAGCGTGAGAACCTTGAGCTCAATTATGCCTGAATACTAAAACTTACCAGAGCAAGGAGAGAGAGACTTTGGTCTTTGACTAAAGTATGTCTTTTTAAGATTGTGAGAAAAGGATAGGAGAGATTGGTCCTTGGAAAAACTATCACAGCCTCTATCGTGACCAAGTTATGATGTATTCTTCAGTTTCTTCTGACCCTGGGAATCCAGGGAACAGTCAAGTGATCTACTTTGTATCGTCTTTTTGTTTGTACCATTTCCTACTGAGTCACCAGTAAATTATGTGACTTCACACATTTTCTCTACCTTTTGATATATAATGAAAGACGTCACTGCTCACTTCAGATGCAGCGGAAGACGCAGCATGTAGAAACGTCAGGTATTTTCATAAGCCTCAGAGGACTGAATGAGGTTTGAATTTTCTGTTCAGAGTGGGGTTAGTAATTGGGAAGAGTCACATGACTTGTTAAAATAATTTTATATACTTGCTTAGAAGAGTGGCAGGGTTCTTGTATAAATTGATTATTTTTGTTTGACAAATGTTCTTTACAGAAATCACTTTTACCAGGAAAATCTTATAAATTCTTTTTTGGAGAGTCACTATGGCTTTGTTGTTGTTGTTGTTGTTTTTGTTTTGTTTTGAGACAGGGTCTGTCACCCAGGCTGGAGTGCAGTGGTACCATCTTGGCTCACTGCAGCCTCCATCTCCTGGGCTCCAGCAATCCTCCTGCCTCAGCCTCCTGAGTAGCAGGGACTGCAGGCGCACACCACCTTGGCTGACTCATTTTTGTATTTTGTGTGGAGACGAGGTCTCGCCATTTTGCCCAGGCTGGCCTTGAACTCCTGAGCTCAAGTGATCCGCCTGCCTTGGCCTCCCAAGGTGCTGGGATTTACAGGCGTGCACTAACATGCCCAGTCTAACTGTGGCTAAGTTTTTACCAGGCTTCTGTTGTGAACCATTGGCAAAGATGTGAATGCAACCTAGACTTCCTATTTTCTCTTCTCTCTGTCCTGTCTTCTTTTTATAATTGACCAACAGTTTTTAGGCCTCTGCGTGATGTATAATTATTTGGCAGTATAAAAGTGGGCTATAACCAAGCGAGTGCTAAGTGCAGACAGATGCTTGACCTGTTGAAATTTTGGCTATTTTTTTTTGAGACAGAGTCTCACGCTGTCACCCAGGCTGGAGTCCAATGGCGCAATCTCGGCTCACTGCAACCTCCACCTCCCAGGTTCAAGCAGTTCTCCTGCTGAGGCCTCCCAAGCAGCTAGGATTACAGGCACCCACCCCCACGCCCAGCTAAACACGCCCAGCTAATTTTTTGTATTTTTAGTAGAGATGGGGTTTCACAATGTTGGCCAGGCTGGTCTCAAACTCGTGACCTCGTGATCTGCCTGCCTTGGCCTCCCAAAGTGCTGGGATTACAGGTGTGAGCCACCACGGCTGGCTGGAATTTTGGCTTTTAAAATCATTTAGATCTCATCAGGAATCAATTATTTAAAATATAAAACTTTCCTAAAGATTTTTGACTCTTTGTAGATAAAATACCTTGAAAGGATAGATCATAATCTTTATGGCAGAGAGATCTTTAAGGTGTATTTGATATGAAATCACAAAGAGAAAAATCTTTCGAGTCATTGGGTTTGGGAATTATGTCATGAACACTGAATACAAGGATACTCTTAAAATTTAAAACCACCTCCTTTACTGTATGTGTTGACCTTTGACCTGAATTGGAAAGGGGATTTTTAACATTTCTCTATAATGTTGTTAAAAAGACATTGGGCCTGTGGGTTTTGGGCCTTAAATTGAATTTTCCTTACATAGAAAAATGGAAAAAATTGGTTTAGGTGTTAGGTCGTAACAAAAAGTAGGCCCTTTTGAAGATTAAATTTATGACTGCCTTAGCCTTGTTTAACTCCATGCCTGGCCACAAATATTAGTGTTGTGGCTGTCCATCATCTGAGCAGTTGCACAGCTGTTCATTCACTGCCGTGCGGATTCATCTTTATGTCTAATGCTGCTTTGAAGAACCTTCTCAGAGGTTAATAATGAGAGGATGTAGCAGTAGGGACAACACCATGGCAGATGAGATCTTTTGGTAGATTCTTTTAATCATGATTTTAAACATTAGAAACCAAAAGCTTTATAGTCTCCTTGTGAAGAAGCCCTGGTGAGCATATTTGCTGTGATAATATTAGTCATGAGTTGCTTACTCCTTGATTAAAACCTCCTAGGTTTGTTGACATACTAGTCACTATTCACCTGCTAGGAAATATAGGACTGAATTGTCATGGAAGGAAATAATGGTGCTGGGATTTGAATAAATAATTTATGGATAATTGCAGAGCCTTTGTCGTCTTCATCCCACCATTTATTAAAGAAGACTTTCCAAAGTATACTGCCATGAGATCTAGAATAATTGAGTCATGTTTTGTGAACCACGTTGGAGACAGACTTCTCTGGGAGGCCACAGCTTCTCCAGAGGGGACCTTTAGCTTTGGAGTGGGACCAACCTGGGCTTGAATCCAGGGCCTGCTAGGTTGGGCTGTTTGTGTCCCGGGGCTGGTGGTTGAACCTTGCAGGATGCTGTGGGCATGTAAATCCTCTAGCGCAGCCCTTGGCCTGTAAGAGGTACTTCGTAAGTGTCCCCCTTCTCTTCTCTGTGCAAGCTGTGTGTTCACCTCCCATGGGAAGACATTCCTAGGCCCCTGCTGTGGGCTCCTCCTCCAGTGCTCCGTGGTGGAGTAGCCAGCAGTGCGCCCCGAGAGAGCATGGTGCATTCATTCCGTGAGTGCCAGCCACACTGCATGTTCCAAATAACACTCCTCCCTCTCCCGGCAGGTGCCTGAGATCATCAGCTCCATCCGTCAGGCGGGGAAGATCGCCCGGCAGGAGGAGCTGCACTGCCCTTCTGAGTTTGATGACACATTTTCCAAGAAGTTCGAGGTGCTCTTCTGCGGCCGCGTGACAGTGGCGCACAAGAAGGCTCCGCCGGCCTTGATTGACGAGTGCATCGAGAAGTTCAATCACGTCAGCGGCAGCCTGGGGTCCGAGAGCCCCCGCCCCGCCCCGCCCCATGCCGCGCCCACAGGGAGCCAGGAGCCTGGGCGCAGGCCCATGCGCAAGTCTTTCTCCCAGCCCGGCCTGCGCTCTCTGGCCTTTAGGAAGGAGCTGCAGGATGGGGGTCTCCGAAGCAGCGGCTTCTTCAGCTCCTTCGAGGAGAGCGACATTGAGAACCACCTCATTAGCGGACACAATATTGTGCAGCCCACAGATATCGAGGAAAATCGAACTATGCTCTTCACGGTAAAATATCACCCAGCTGGTGCACAGCCCCAGTGTGCCATACGCGTTCAAGAGAAAATCTCCTTTACGGAGTGAAGATTCTTAGTCAGTTGCTTTTGATTTATGTGTGAATCCATATATTTTCATGCTGAACAATTCTCTTCTTAGGATAAGATCCTTCCTTTAGCCATAAGCCTTTACAGTCATCAGGGAGAAACAGAGATCCATCTCGTGCCCATGTGTCATTTTTATCTCACCTCGTAATTATAAAGACACCCTTTCAGTGTGGAAAGAACAGTGAAAACGTGTAAATAAAGCCAGCAGAGAGATTTTAAAAATAAATATGAATTTCAGAGGATATATTTCAACAGAATCTTTTAGTTGGAAAACACCCTCTCTACTATTAATATGTTTATTTATGAAACATTTACCCTTTGCTAATCAGGATGAGTGGCTTTGTGAGTGACATTATATTTGAAATTTATACCCAAAATGAAATGTTCATTTAGCCAATTGCTTGCTTTTTTTTTTTTTTTTTAAATAAGAAAAAAAGTTACATTGACAGCCAAATGCTAGAAAAGGACTGGATGGGGGTGGCGGTGGCTGTCCCAGGCGGGTGGGGTTCCTGGTTCCATGCTGACCTGGGCTCTTCTGAGTGGGCGTGCCCTCCCTGGGAGTCCCCCCGGTCTGATGGATGAGGTGTGGAGCTGTCCCAGCAGTGAGCCCGTCTCCGACAACGGAGGAGCTAGTTTTTTCCTTGGCCTCCTCTTTGGCTTAATGCTGACTGACATTCTGTAGAGAACAAAATTACCTTAAATATAAAGTCCCCTTTTTGTGTCTAATTCAGGACACAAGTGAGATGGCCAGGGGGTAAAAAACCGGCTACCTAGGTTAGTGGAGTGTGGATGTGTGCAGGTTTAAAACCAAGCGGGTGCACCCAAGGGTAAATAGGGCTGAGGTTTCCATCTTTTGACCGTTAATCTAGTGTACCGAAAAGAGTCGTCAGATTTGTGCTATAATTTGTGATCTGTGTGTTTTAAAAAAACTTCCTTGGTGACATTGAGAAAGCTGCCTCCTGCATTTATTTATAAGTACTAACTGACTGCTGTGCTAACGTCCCTTGCCACATGCTGGAAATGCAACCGTGAACAAGACAAGTATGGTCTCTGCCCACATGGAATTTAGATTCCAGTAAAGGAGACAGGCAACTGAGTGCACAAATAATTATCTGATTATAATTGTGGTAAATGCTGTGGAGGAGAGGTACAGGATGCCTGAGAGCATTTCCCAGGGTAATCGGGAAAGGCTTCTTTGAGAAAGTGATTTTCACCTAACATAAGGTTTCGTTGTGGCCACCTGGGAAGGTCTTCTGGGCTCACAGAGCAGCAGATGAGAAGGTCCTAAAGGCAGGGATGGCGCCTGGTGCCTGGAGAATCCCGGAGGCCTGAGTGCCCCCTTTGCTTAGCATTCTTCCCTCAGTTGTTGCGGTCTTACCTCCTCTTGCTTCCTCTAGGTCTCTGCTGAAATGTTGACATGGAGGAATAATTGTATCAGTAAGGCCAGTAGCAACCTCACTTCCAGGTTTTTTGCTTTATTTTTCTCCATAGCACTTTTACCATTTGATACAATTACAAATAAACAAGTAAAACATTTTATGTCCCACATGCCCCCAAGAAGATAGGCTTCAAGAGGGCATGGATTTTCATGTCTCTGTTCACTGTTGTTGTTGCTAGTGCCTAGAGCACAGCTGTGCTCTGTAGACACCTGTTGGGTGAGAAATAAGTCCGGATGGCTGCACTGAAAACAAGGAAGGATGGTGCGTAGAGATGGGGCTGGGGCTGGAGGCAGCCCCACGAAAGTTATGTTCATTAGGCACAACTTTATGGGTCTCGGTCAGGGTTTGGTTTTTATCCTGAAAGGAGTGGGCAGTCACTGCATGCTTTAAAACACAGTGTGAAATATCTTTGGCTACAGAGCCAGGATACTTGGGGGAGGGCAAGAGTAGGGTGGGGAGGGGAGTGAAGCTGTTGTGGTAGTCCAGGTGAGAGATAGTAGGGTTGTGAAGTGCAGTGGGAGTGGAAGGGACAGACATGCAGAAAGTCAAATTAATGGGATGTATAATCCTTTGGATCCTATGGGGAAGGAGAGGGATCTCAGGAGCCCCACCCAACTTTAGATTCTGACTTGCTCTTTACAACCCAGCCACAGCCAAATAATCATGTCTTGGAGCCTCTCACCTTATGAGATTTTCAAAGGTTATTTTTAAAAACAAGTAAGGACTATCTTCACTATGTAGGTAAAGACAGTGACTTGTAAAGAGGCTAAACATACTCCAAATAGATATTTATTGGTTGTTTACAAATAAGGAGGATATTGTGTTGGCTCCTACTCTAGAGAGAGACACAGTCTAATTTAGAAAGATGTTGCATGTTAAAAATGAATTAGTTTTTCATCATCCTTGGTCTCCATGGAAGGATGAGAGTAAAAGGCTACCTGCCACTCTCTACTGGCTGAAATACAGTTCAGAAACAGTAAGTGTGCAAAAACAATTCAGAGTGCAAAGTCCATGCCCCAAACAGAATGCACGTTTCTTGGGCTCCCTCACTGAGAATATAATTCCCTTTGACTTACACCCCAGTTTCTAACAAGCTTGTGTATCTGGTTTGTCTTTAACATCAAAACATAGAGTGTTTAGAGGAGGAGATGGATCTGGGGGTTAGAGTGGCAGCATCAGGATGTGACCACTGACTTATTGGTCCTGAGGAGAAACTAGAGCTATAGAAACCAACATACACTGAAACCCAAGAAGCTTAGCGCTTCGGAGACATGGAGTCTAAAAGGCAGGCTTTCATAGCTTGCAGGGGCATGTGCACACACAGTAGGATGAGTATTGCAACACAGCAGTCTCCTAAAATGCGTGTCTATTAGCATGTCCCAAGGCAGTAAGAGGATTGTAATTGATGCTCATACTCTAACTTGAAAAGGTCCGGTCACTAGTGTATGTGAATGCCTCACATGTAATATGTACTATACAAATGGTAGATTATTTTAACAACAATTTAAAAAGACTTGTCAGTAAAAATCATTTCCAAAGTATCTTGGAAGCTTTCAAAGAGTAGATTCTGTTTTCTGGAAGGTTCACTTATGTGAAGACCTCAGTTTTTAGGGGATGTGTGGATCTTGAGGCCTGTTGCTAACTTTTGGATATCCGGTTCTTTCATCTCAAGGAAGACTGCTGTCTTATGTAGGTGAAGGCACTAACAGATGTCCAGTGTGACCTGAAGTCCAGAGGATAAGAGGGAACCTTTGAAATGATTTCTACAGTGATAGAGTCAGAATTTTATAGGAGCTTGCCCCTTTTATTCTTTATTTTTATAGGTCATAAAATGAGAAAGTTTGAAAAGCTAGATTTTTTTTGTTTGTCTTTTAAGATTGGCCAGTCTGAAGTTTACCTCATCAGTCCTGACACCAAAAAAATAGCATTGGAGAAAAATTTTAAGGAGATATCCTTTTGCTCTCAGGTAAATGGAGATGGGTTTTTTAAATTCAGTTGCAATGGAATTTTTAAATGGATTTCTGTAATATCTGTCATGTAACAGAAATGCTAAAGGTTACAGGGTGTATGTTTTCTAAGTACTGTACTTGATTTGTGTTTCGCTTTTCTTCTTTGCTTTGGTATGTTAAGGTAAATTATGAATATAATTTTGAAATTAAGAAATTTGCTGTTAGCAACACTAATGGACAAAATAGATCTACTTTTAATTTTCTCAGTTATTGGTAGTAATGGTCCACAGTCATGACTTCCGGATGCATGTGTATGTGTCTTTGTGCATATTACACATATATATTTACACATTTCATACAAGTGTCTTTTTATTAGATATATTTCTACTTTACAAAAATTTATAACTTTTTGGGTACCAATTATCAGTATTTCTTCTCCCTTCAAATATAGATAGTGCTTATCTTTGAGAATGTTCTACTCAAAGTACAGTGTCTACTTGAAAACTTTTTTCTTGATAATCTTCCAGGTGTTTGTTTCATAGAGAGATTTTGGAAGAATCTATCAATTAAGATTAGCTGTGTCAGTTTTACTCAGGATCTTCCTAACAAATATGAGATCACTTAAGGTTATGTTTGCTTATTTTTTTTAAACTCTGGATTTTTCGTTTTCATAATTGATAAAATATGAAAATGTCAGTGTTGATTTATAATGTGATCTACTTAAATATTCAAAAGGGACTTTTCTGCAAAATGTGAAAATAAAGAATGTTCTTTATAGATTAAATAGGGAACCATTGACAAAGAAAAAGCTTTTCTAAATCATATTTCCTTAAGTTGTAGCCTCTAGCTTATGCTTAACTTGCTATTGGAGAATATTAATTGAGATGGCAAAGCATGTCGATGATTGCTCATTTATTGGAAAATATTTGGCCTGAAAGTAAGATTACCCATAGAGTTTTTATCCTGATTTGCTGCTGTTTCTGTTGAATATTAATGTTAAATGTTTATCATTTCCAAAAGAGTATAGCTTACAAGTTTATATGATTACCTGAACATTAAGCTATCAGCACGCACATCTCTGCATGCTGATGCTTTCAGAATACATTGATGTATTAATATTTATGGCAGATGTTTTATCTGTATTAAGGTGCCTCTGATAGCTGATGATTTTAAAACATGTTTACATATTAATATTTATTAAAAATAGCTCTTATGATTCTATGGTAGGGCCTTGGCCTAATATGTTTAAAAGCTCCTCTACTCTGCATGCATATAATATTTGACTCTTTCTTTATTCCAGTTCACTTCAATATTTACCTATTTATTTTAGGAGTACAAATATATTTTAAATCTTTTTTTAACCTTTAGGTGTGTGTGCATGCATGCACGTACATGTGTGTATGTGCGTAGTTGTGTTTATTCAAGAATCTCTGGTCTGCCTTTGATTTTTTGAGTGGTTTTTGTTCTTTAATACCTAGGTCTCAAACGAAACAACAATCGAATACAAAAATGAGCACGAAAACTTGAATTTTCAGATCTTAGTTCTCTTATTGTTGTGGGGGTAATCAAAGGAACATTCTAGTAAACCACCTTTATTGAGATGTTTTTAGACTTTTTGAAATTTTAAAATATCAGAGAAAATAGTAATTTTCTAGTGCTCTTTAAAAGTGTGCTCTCTAGGCCAGGCGCAGTGGCTCACGCCTGTAATCCTAGCACTTTGGGAGGTTGAGGTGGGTGGATCACCTGAGGTCAGGAGTTTGAGACCAATATGGTGAAACACTATATCTACTAAAAATACAAAAATTAGCTGGGTGTGGTGGTGGGCGCCTGTAATCCCAGCTACTCAGGAGGCCGAGGCACGAGAATCACTTGAACCCTGGAGGCAGAGGTTTCAGTGAGCTGAGATTGCGCCATTGTACACAAGCCTGGGCAAAAAGAGTGAAACTCTGTCTCAAAAAAATAATAAAAAGTAAAATAAAATAAAATTGTGCTATGTAAATCTTGAGGTGCATTTCTGATGATGGTGCGTCTTCTGGATACACCTGAACATCTCATTCTCTCCCTTGGACAGGGCATCAGACATGTGGACCACTTTGGATTTATCTGCCGGGAGTCTTCTGGAGGTGGCGGCTTTCATTTTGTCTGTTACGTGTTTCAGTGCACAAATGAGGCTCTGGTGAGAGAGGACAAGCAATTCTTACCTTGGAACCTTCTTTACAAGGAATTTTAGCTCCACTGATTTTTCTGTCCTTAGGAAAACCAGATAGTCATTGACATATCATTATTTGTCTTTAGTTATTTACTTATGACTATTTAGTAAGTAGCTAATACACATCTGAAGCTTAATTGGGTGTGCATTTTATATTTTTTATTTCAGAAGAACTTGCTCAGTGTCACCCTCTGGTCTAGCATTTTACAGTGTCATTTTAGATGTCTGATCAAAGGAGTTTGCCTTTTTTCTCAGTAGTTTGTATTTTTAGTTTTTACTGTATCAGTCTGTTCTCACACTGCTAATAAAGACATACCCGATACTGGGTAATTTATAAAGGAAAGAGGTTTAATGGACACAGTTCCACATGGCTGGGGAGGCCTCACAATCATGGCAGAAGGTGAAGGAGGAGCAAAGGCACGTCTTACATGGCAGCAGGCAAGAGAGCCTGTGCAGGGGAACTGCCCTTTATAAAACCATCAGATCTCGTGAGATTTATTCACCATCATGAGAACAGCACAGGAAAGACCCACCCCCATGATTCAATTACCTCCCACTGGGTCCCTCCCATGACACGTGGGAATTATGGGAGCTACGACACAGCCAAACCATATCATTTACCTTACCTGCTTTGAGAGCTTTGAGCATCCTTGTAGTATTTTCAGACTGTAATCCTAGCCGTTATTCCAATTATTATCTGTCAAACTGTGAAGAGTAGTACAGAAAACTCTTAAAAGCTTAAAAAGTCTTTTCCATAGATTATCTGACATCTCAGTCCAGCTAATTTCAAGTTGACTTTTTGGTGGCTACAATTTCTCTTCTCTTTGATTAGGTGGACGAAATTATGATGACCCTGAAACAGGCTTTCACAGTGGCCGCAGTGCAGCAGACGGCTAAGGCGCCAGCCCAGCTGTGTGAGGGCTGCCCCCTGCAGGGCCTGCACAAGCTCTGCGAGAGGATAGAGGGTGAGTAGGGGACCTTTTCCAGCGTGAACACAGTGGGAGTTAAAGGTCCCTGGAGAACTTTAGGTGATACTCATCTGTTGGAAGATTCTGCCTAACAGAGGCTTGTGTTAGTCACAGTGATTGTAGGTGGACTCTCAGCGTGCAGTGGGTGTCTTTTGTGTGTCAGGAATTGTGCCGGATGCTGGTGATACAAAGATAAGAACCCAGAACCCTCTTCTGCCACCTCCCTCCAGGGTATTCTGAAGGTGGAGGAGGAGTTAGGGAAACAGGTTACCAAACCAGTTGCCTAGTGTTTATCAAGATTATGTGAGTGGTTAGTCATACTGGCCACTGCAGAGATATCTAGAAAGATAAAAACTAAGGAACTTGTACCGGTTTCTCCATTACAAGGTCATTAGTAACCGCTGCTAGTACAGTTTGAATGGAGACGAGGTAGCACAAAACAGGTTGCAGTTGAGGAGCAAATGGGAAGAAATAAAAGAAACGTGACTATTAGTATTGAATAGTACTTCTAGAAACCTGGCTTAGGAAGAAACTAATAAATGTTATGATTTGTAGCTAATGTGTATTGAATAAGATCTGCCAGGAAATATATTAGGTGCTTTCTGTTATCTATTTAATCCTCACCACATTTGTGGGAGGAAAAGGGACTATTTATTTTGCACATATTGCAGATAAGTAAATTGAGGATTAGAGATGTCTAGGAATAAACTAGTGTATCGTGAGCCCATGATTCACCCCAGGTGGTAAAGCCCTGTTACCTGCCACCAAGCATTTCCAGGAGAAGGCCATACTGGGGGAAGACCTGGGGATTGCAGCTAACTTTGCCTTTTTCAGAACTGGAGAGGTTTGAGTGAATTCAGAGCCCAAGGGGCGGGAGGGGCCAAATGAATCTGAATGGAATGGAGGGGGTTCCTTTTGAACAAGAGTGGGGAGTCCACCTGAGGCAGGAAGTGAGAGTCTCTGTCTCTGGGACTGCAGGGAGGGGCCAGGGGAGAGGACAGAACCAGGTGACAGTGAAAAGGAGTGGTAATATGTTTATCTGAGGGCGTCTGGAAGGTGAAGACTTTTCACCTCTCTGTTCTTGGTTTTGTGTTTTTGTTCTGTTTATGGGAGGATTTCAAAAATTTTTTTTGTGACTTGTGGAGGTCACATGATTTAAACAACCCATGTTATTGTGAAAAGAAAACAAAAATTTGATCATTTCTCATGTTTGGAGAATGTTTATTATACACCTGTAATCCCTGCACTTTGGGAGGCCGAGGCGGGTGGATCACCTGAGGTCAGGAGTTCAAGACCAGCCTGGGCAACATGGTGAAACACCGTCTCTACTGAAAATACAGAAATTAGCTGGGCGTGGTGGCGTGTGCCTGTAATTCCAGCTACTTGGGAGGCTGAGGCAGGAGAATCGTTTGAGGCCGGGAGACGGAAGTTGCAGTGAGCCGAGATTGTGCCACGCACTCCCAGCCTAGGTGACAGAGTGAGATGTCTCAAAAAAAAAAAAAAGGAATGTTTATTATAAGCTATAATTTTGTAAAGACAACATTGCTTTTAGGTCCAATTTTCCTTTTTAAAAAAATTATAGTAAAAATATATGTAACACAAAATTTACCATTGTAACCTTTTTGTAAGCATACCCTTCAGTGGCATTAAGTCCATTCACATTGTTATGCAGTCCTCACCACCAGCATCTCCAGAACTTTTTCATCTTCCAGAACTGAAACTCGTTAAATGCCAGCTCTGCTCCTTCTCAACCTCTGGCAACATCCGTTCTGTTTCTAGGTAACTTCATATAAGCAAAGTCATAAAATATTTATCTTCTTGTCTCTGGTTTATTTCACTTAGCATAATGTTTTCCAGATTCATGTGAACCGTAGCGTTGTCTGAATTTCATGCCTTTTTAAGGCTGAATAGTATTCCATTCCAAAAGCGTGTAGCACGTTTTGTTGATCCATTTACTCGTCCATGGACATTTGGGGTCCTTCCATCTTTTGACTATTGTATGAATAAAGCTGCTGTGAATGCTGATGTGCAAATACCTGTTGAAGTTCCTGCTTTCAATTCTTTTGGATGTATATCCAGAAATGAAACTGCTAGGGTATGTGGTAATTTTATGTTTAATTTTTTTGAGGAACTGCCGTATTGTTTCACAGTGGCCACACCATTTTACAATCCCACTGGCAATGGGTAAGGACCCCAGTTCTTTTACGTCCTTGCCAAAATGTGCTACTTTCTGTTTTTGTTTTGTTTTGTTTTTGATGAAAGCCGTCCAGATAGATGTGAAGTGGTATCTGGTTTCCCTTTTTAAATAAGATAAATTAACAGTTGACATCTTAAGGTCTGGGAAGGGTCATTTGTGGCATTACAGTGCTCTTTAAAATGAAGAAAGATGATTAATATATTCAACTGTGTTTTCCACGTTGTTACTATTTGCTGACATTACACAAAATATATCTGGGAACAAGAAAACGTTTGCTTTAACGAGAGTTCCCAACCAAGAGGATCACTAACTCTTTCCTTAGTGGTTGTCAAGATAAGGTAAATGATGACAGAAATGCCCCTTAAGAGCTTATTGAAAAGCCAGCAGTGACTTTGGCCTTGAAGATAAAGCAGATCACGATCTGCAGGAACTGGAATGCTTCCAGCGCTCCCCTTGATAAATCTTTCTTTGGTCTGGCTTAGCTTTCAGAAAGTTACAGCTCAAAAGTTTGATCAGGGTAGATTTTGCTGCTGTCGTTTTGGAATTAATCATTTGATCCATCTTTCACCTGATAAAATCCAACCAAGGCACAAAACTCTACTAATGCCAGAACATTCTTAAATAGTACAATTAGAAGTCTGGTGGGGGTATGTTTTACCTACATGATGGAACTCATTTCTAAAAGTGTAGAGGGCACGTTATTAGAAGAAGTGCTAGTTATTACATAAACAGTTTTACGGTTCCTTGCTTTTTGTTGTTGTATTCCTAATAAGTAGAATGAAGTGGCTTATTCAAACTCATTGTATATTGGTGTAAGAGTAGTTCTAGCAGGAAGTTATATGGTCTGATCAATAACTCTGTAAAACTGTGGAGAGGACTAGTGATGTGGCCACACAAAGACTTAAAGAGTGTGTTTTCTTAGTAAGTGTAGTCAAGTCATCCCCCAGAATCTACAGAATAGAATCAGTAACGCTGTTCATGTTGATTACGCTGCACTCTACTCTTAACATGCGACACATCAGAAGTGCAGCTCTACCCAGTTCTGTGTTTGACCCATATACAACTCAGTGGTATTTATATAGTATTTTGCTTATTTTAAAAGAGGAGCATTTTGGGAATTACTAGACTGAATTATGCTTTCATTAAAAAAATTAGTTGAACTAAGATTTTCTTTTGCTCTCAGAGCAAATTTTCCTTCAGTAAAACACAGTCATTCATCACCGCTCCCTCTAACAAGGGCCGTTTCTGCACCGGCAGGGAGGCGGCCTCACTGACCAGCGGAGCCCGGAGGGGTTGTAGTTTGGGAACCCCCTTGACGCTGGTTACCTTTTTCTGCTTCAGTCCTTGCTTCCCATTCCCCTCCATAAGCCATTTTGGCATCAGCTGGGCCTCTCTGGGGAGACGCATTCAGTGTGGAACTGAAGGGTGCTTTCAGTGGGTCTACAGAAACCACCCAGGAGGCGCTAGCTGTGTGAGAATCCCTGGGGGAGGAGCTCGCACCTAGGCGGGCCGGCTGTTTAGAGATGGGGCCGGAAGGACCTCATGAGTTAGGCATCCTGCAGACAGGGTGAAACTGCTCAGAGAATTGCTTCACAGCTGCCGAAGCCACGACTAGGCTGCATTTCGTGATTTCACCTGAGATTGGCAGAGCGTCTAGTTAGTCTAACTCTTCTTAGGCCTTGGCATTTATTCGTCTATTCCCCACATCTGAATGTTTCATGAAACAATATCGTTTTTCCAAAATATGATACTTTGACTGTCAGAGATGTCCTCCATATGTGGGGGAGATTTTTAGTGCATGATGACTTCGCGCTTATTTGATTCATAAATCTTAACTCTGTTTCGCGTCAGCATTTAAGTAGTTGATACAGTAAAGCCTTGTCTGTTTCCCTGGCTTCATGTGACCTGACAGCTTGCTGAAAGAGTGATTGCATTGCACTTTGACGAAGGCGCTGTCCTTCCTGCACTTTAACCCACCTCTGAGCTCACTCTTGTATTGCAGTCACCTGAGTGTCAGGTGACTTGGCTCTGCTAGTCAGGGAGGGCAGTGGAGCAGTTAAGGGTTTGGTTGCTGGAGGCAACTTACTTAGCTGATGACCTTGGACAAAATACTTGACTTCGATGTGCCTCAGTTTCTTCAGTGGGCACTGGGATTACTTAAAAAAAAAAAAAGGCCCATTTCTAGTATTCATTTTAGGGTGAAATGAAATAATGCACATAAAGTGTTAAGTGAAATGGCTTGGCAGTCACTTAAATATTATTTCTACGGTGGCCTCAGGGTTTTCTTGGGTTAAAAAAAGGGAAAAAGAATGTCTTTCTGGAAGCAGAGATGGCTGTAACAGTGTGATAGGGCAGCCGCCTCTGCCACAGTCCCACTCTACTGAGAGGTTGTGGGATCTGCCTCGGCTGCCGTGGGAGGAGCCGTGGCTTTGGGCAGACTTGGCTGCTGATGGGCCTCCTGGCCTTTCACAAGTCGCCTGGCTTCTCTGGGCATCAGCAAAACCGTCTGCAAAACGAAGGCATGGTTTCCAAGTCCTTACAGACAAGCCCCTGGCCCAGCAGATTTCCCTCCCGGCCATCCGTAGTGATGTAGGTGCCTCGCACACTGTTCTCCAGCCCAGAGCCTTGGCCAGGCCTCTGCCTCAGGGCCACCCTGGTGGGATGAGAAGACAGTGCCAGGTGGGTGAGGTGAGAGCTGCCCTTGGAAGAAAAATAACCCGTGCAGTTTTTTTCTTTTCATGGCAGTTGGGTCAGCATATTCTTTCATTATCAACCTTCTCATCATGTGTGACGTTTATCACTGGACACCACGAAAAGGCAGAGCAGGCTCTGAGCCGTATTTGTGTGGGGAAGGAACTTCTTGAAATACCAGGTTCTCATGGGTACTAAAATGATGTAATGACTTTATTTTTATAACTTTTCCTCAAAACCCTTTGTAACATTAATTAAATGTAATGTTCATTAAGTTATTAATAAGCATGTGGTGGTGTAAGAAAAATTGTGAGCCACATGCATCAGTTTTCTTTGATGGAGAAATGTGCGTCAGTTTTCCAACAGAATAGGAGTTGTTTTTCCCTAAGAAAAAGTTGTCAGGTTTACGTATCAACACAAGAATTTATCATTTTCTGAGGAGAAGTTTCTGATTATGTGAGGTATTTTAACAGGGAGAAAGTAATTTGGAGCCTCACAATCCTGAGGTAGAGTACAAATAAGTGGTCTGTGGAAATGACATAAGCTCTCTGGGTCTTAGTTTTCTTAGCTGTAAACTGGGGGTAATAGCATCCTCTTCATCAGATTGTTTTGAGAATTAAATGGTGCAAGCTTAACGCCTATTATTCAGTGTCCAGTGCATCAGAGCTCGTTTAGAAGATGATGACAAAGATAACAGCAACACTATTTTCGATGAAAATTTCCACGCCAAGCATAGTGGCTCACGCCTGTAATCCCAGCACTTTAGGAGGCCGAGGTGGGCGTATTGCTTGAGCTCAGGAGTTCGAGACCAGCCTGGGTAACATGGCGAAACCTCGTCTCTACTAAAAATACAAAAATTAGCCGGGCATGGTGGCATGTACCTGTAGTCCCGGGTACTGGGGAGGCTGAAGTGGAAGGATTGCTTGAGCCTGGGGAGGTCGAGGCTTCAGTGAGCCATGATTGCACCACTGCAATCCAGCCTGGGTGACAGAGTGGGATTCCATGTCAAAAAAAAAAATAATAAATTTTTTTTTTTTTCCCATAAAACCTTGAAAGTCTGAAGTGGAAGAGAATGTGAAGGGGATGTGTGTGGAAGAGGTTAACTTCCTATCTCACAACTTTTGCATAGAGTTTTTTCATGCCTCTTTTTTTTTTCTCTTAATAGGAATGAATTCTTCCAAAACAAAACTAGAACTGCAAAAGCACCTGACAACATTAACCAATCAGGAGCAGGCGACTATTTTTGAAGAGGTTCAGGTACAGTACAGTTACTAATTTCTAGAAGGAAAGAAAAGGCAGGCAGCTTACCTGGGAAATGCTATGTATACAAAATAGCAAACCAGTGTTGTCCCAGCCTGGGGTAAGGTGCCTTGAGTTCGTCTTGGTTTCTGGGGTGTCCAATCTTTTGGCTTCCCTGGGCCACATTGGAAGAAGAAGGATTGTCCTGGACCACACATAAAAGACACTAACGATAGCTGATGAGCTTAAAAAAAAACAAAAATCACGCACACACACAAAATATCAATGGTGTTTGTTTATTTGTTTGTATAACAGAGTCTTGCTCTGTTGCCCAGGCTGGAGTGCCATGGCACGATCCGGGCTCACGGCGATCTCCGCCTCCCGGGTTCAAGTGATTCTCCTGCATCAGCTTCCTGAGTAGCTGGGACTACAGGCGCGCCACCACGCCCGGCTAATTTTTGTGTTTTTAGTTGAGACAGGCTTTCACCATGTTGATCAGGCTAGTCTTGAATTCCTGACCTCGTGATCCGCCCGCCTTGGCCTCCCGAAGTACTGGGATTATAGGTGTGAGCCACCGCGCCAGGCCCAACATCTCATAATGTTTTAAAAGCGCTTATGAATTTGTGTTGGACTATATTGAGAGCTGTCCTGGGCCACATGTTGGACCTGCTTGGCTTAAGCTTTCACAGTCCCATAGAGGGTCCAGGTCAGAATTGCAGATTCCCATGAGGCCTTAGCTTAGATAGTAAAACTAACTGAAACAGACAAGCTTCTTCCTTAAACTAAATGTTAGCATAAGAGAGAGGAAATTATAAAATGGAAAGCGCCTTAGTCTGGGAGACAGAAGGTCTGGCCTCTGGTCTACATGCACTCATCTGTTCCCTGGGAAACCTCTGCCCGCCCCTTCCTGCTTAGGATTTCAGCCCTAAGTGTGGCAGTCGAATGAGACAACATTTGGTTCATGAGCTTGAACAGAATTGTTCCTTCTTTCCCCCCACACCATTTTTTCTTTTCGTTTTTGAAAATAAATTTAGGTCATGCTGTCTACTTGGAACCCGATAATATATCAAACCTACAAAAACAAAACAAAATTCAAGCTCATCGGCTTTCTGCAGTAAACTTGGAAGCTAGCTCTTGCCCTTGCATTTAGATGCAATGTATCTCGGGGAGACCATGCTGTGTGTGCTGGCATGCCTGTAGCCTGTTCATTATGAATCTTTAATGAGGTCATCCAAAATTTCATGTCTGCTTTAGCCGAGGGCCATTTTTGATGGCTCCCTGGCACTTTTTTAGGGAGGGAAGCATATCAAAACAAAGAATAAATATCTCCTTTTGCGGGGCAGGCAGCAGATTCTGTAAATAGAGGAGCCATTAAACAAGACAGCAAGCAACTGGGTGGGTTTAAGTGCTTTTCCCTCCTTACTGGGAAAATACTATACTAGGATCCACGATCTGCTTTCTGTTAGTGTAAAAAAATGAAAGGATTGTCTCTCTCTCTCTTTTTTTTTTTTTGAGGCAGAGTCTCACTCTGTCACCCAGAGCCAGAGTGCAATGGTGCAATCTTGGCTCACTGCAACCTCCGCTTCCCAGATTCAAGCGATTCTCCTGCCTCAGCTTTTCGAGTAGCTGAGATTTCAGGCACCTACTACCACCACACTCTGCTAATTTTTATACTTTTAGTAGAGACGGGGTTTCACCATATTGGCCAGGCTGGTCTTTAACTCTTGACCTTGTGATCCGCCTTCCTCAGTCTCCCAAAGTGCTGGGATTACAGGTGTGAGCCACCACGCCTGGCCATCTTTCTCATTTTAATCACATGTTAGAGGTCTTGTCTTATTCCCTTGTTCTCCTTCTACAGTAGAATTGGCATATGCTGTAGGAAGAGAGCATAGAAAGATGTTTTTTCATGTCTTAAATAGCCTAGAGGGTAATTTTCACAATTTTCACTTGTCTTTACATTTTCTTGTTTTCTTTTGAATCAACTTGAGACATGCTACTTTGTTTTTTCTTAAAAGATCTTTAGAGTTCTAAGTACACAATACTCTTAGACAAATATAATGTGATTTGCATTTGGAATTCAAAAATGGACAATACGCTTCTGATTGTTAATGCATTTACAATTCAAGCTGGGGCCTTTTTCATCTAATGCTGGCTCGCTTACTGTTCTAGAGCTGTCCAGTCACTTTAAGAAACCATCTTTCTTTTCTTTCTTTTTTTTTTTTTTTGAGACTGAATCTTGCTCTGTGGCCCAGGCCAGAGTGCAGTCGCATAATCTCGGCTCACTGCAAGCTCCGCCTCCTGGGTTCAGGAGGTGGGGTTTCACCATGTTAGCCAGGATGGTCTCCATCTCCTGACCTCGTGATCTGCCCGCCTCAGCCTCCCAAAGTGCTGGGATTACAGGTGTGAGCCACCGCGCCTGGCCACGAAACCATCTTTCTAGCAAGCATAGAAGAGGAACTTCCCTTTCATAATGTGGGTTTTCTTTTTTGTCTAGACAGCACCACGTAGCTCTCCCTAAAACAGTGTGATGAATCAGTATAGGTAATACACAAAATATTCTTCCACAGCAATGAGATGTTCCTAATGGGCATGATTCCAAGATTCTCTGTGACTCATGCAGGCTTTTAGGCACTGAGTACATCATGGCAAAGACACTTCAGAACAGAGTAGGTTATGACTAAGGTTTGCTTTAAAAAAAGAGCATTCAGTTAATATCCTGAGGCCCCTATGTGTTGTTCTAGAGGTCTCTGTAATTGTTTAGTTGCATCAGACACCAAAGGGAAGTTGTATTGTTCACCAACTTTGAAAAGCCAGCTCTCGCCTTGTCTTCCATCACCATGAGTGTGACTGTTCCTTGAGTGATACAGATTTGCCCATGAATCTTTTGTTCTAGAGGCTTGTTAGATGGTCTTGTTGAATTATGTCCTCAATGACCGTTCTTGGTTTTGTAAAACATTTTATAAACCAAGTCATTGGTTTCGTTTTAGACAGCAATGCTGGCTGATGTGCTTGAAAATAATACATTTCAAAAAGGTTGTAAGGAAAAAGGTGACTTTGCAGTTTCCGGAGTCGTCTTATAAATAGAATAGTAAATATTTTCCTTTGTTCAGTCTTTCCTGCAGGGGAATTTGTTTCTGAAAAAGTGCTCCACGTGCAAATTTTCATAACGGAAATATAATTACCATTGAAATTAATGGTACATGATTACTTAGTTATTAAAACATACCATATTCAAGGATCATGTAAATGAATATTTAATTTAAAAAATGGAACTCTAACAGCTATAAAGAAATCACTGATAACTGTGTGTAAATGATGCTGGAGGTTATCTCTGCTGTAAACAAGCTGATTTTGAGCACTCTGAGAACTTGGTGCCAGACAGTCATGTGGGCAAACCACACTGCAAAGCTGTCTTTTTATTTATGAGCTTTCTGAAATGTTTCATTTTCAAACATATCTAGCTAGGCATAGGTGAGGATGACCCCCTGATGCTCTGTTACTGGGTGAATATACTGAATCCAAATTGATCATCTCAGGATAAGAATTGCTGTGAAGCCAACGTGGGGCTAGTAAATAAAATATCTCAAAGTCTAATTCTCCTAATCTATATGAGTGTGTTTGAGGGAATGACTTAATTAAATACTGACTAGATAAATCAAGTAGATTTGTACGCAATAGACGTTGATAACTCATTAAGTGACATGACTTCACAAGTTAAAGGTTAATGGTCAGAAGAGACTCTTTTTACTTTCTGAAGAATATATATCAGGTTAGTTGGATTTTCCATGGTTTTAAAATGATTTCTTACAAAATGGGATTATAATTGTTTGAAAGATGGTAGACTGCAGTGTCCATGTGAGGGCTGTCTTTTTAAGTAGTTCCCTTAGGAGACCATGGGCTTTCTCAGCATTCTGGGATGCATTAATCAGTGTTGGAAATGTATTGATTGATTTATTAATTTTTTTGTAAGAGAAAGGGGCTCACTATGTTACCCAGGCTGGAGTGCAGTGGTTATTCTAGGGTGTGATCAGAACACATTTCAGTTGCGAACTCCTGGGCTCAAGCAATCCTCCTACCTCCGTTTCCTCAGTAGCTGGGACTGCAGGTACATGCCCCCTTGCCCAGCTGGCAGTTTATTTCTGAATTTCCTTTATGATAATTTATAAGCCTCTTATAGGTTAAGAAACATGTAACTAACTTAGTTTTGTTACTTTTAACAGGCAATTAATTGTTTTGTAATATTCTTTTATAAATTGTAGTATAACATACAGATAGAAAAGCACACAAATCAAAGATGTGTAATTGAGTGAATTTTTATAAGGTAAATACAACTGTGCAGCCAGTGTCAAGATTAAGAAATGGAACATTTCTGGCCAGGCGCGGTGGCTCACGCCTGTAATCCCAGCACTTTGGGAGGCCAAGGTGGGTGGATCACTCGAGGTCAGGAGTTCAAGACCAGCCCGGCCAACATGACGAAACCCTGTCTCTACTGCAAATACAAAAATTAGCTAGGCATGGTGGTGCGTGCCTGTAGTCTCAGTTACTCGGGAGGCTGAGGCATGAGAATCGCTTGAACTTGGGAGGTGGAGGTTGCAGTGAGCCAAGATTGTGCCACTGCACTCCAGCCTGGGGGAAAGAGTGAGACTCTGTCTCCCCCAAAAAAGAAAGAAATGGGGCATTTCCATTGCCTCATAGTCCTCTTTTGTGTCTGCCTCAAGGTAACCATCATCCTGACTTCTGACACCATAGTTTAATTTTGAACAAGCAGGTAATTTTTGATGGCAAAGTGATGTTACCCAATTTGATTCCCCATTATTTTCCTAAGACTTATCTCTCTGACTGATGAATGTTCATAAAGTTAAATCACCTTTAAGAAATAATGATTTAGCCGGGCGCGTTGGCTCATGCCTCTAATCCCAGCACTTTGGGAGGCCGAGGTGGGTGGATCATGAGGTCAGGAGATCGAGACCATCCTGGCTAACACAGTGAAACCCCATCTCTACTAAAAATACAAAAATTAGACGGGGAGTGATGGCGGGCGCCTGTTGTCCCAGCTACTCGGGAAGCTGAGGCAGGAAAATGGCGTGAACCTGGGAGGTGGAGCTTGCAGTGAGCCGAGATTGCGCCACTGCACTTCATTCAGCCTAGGTGACAGAGCGAGACTCTGTCTCAAAAAAAAAAAAAAAATAATAATAATAATGATTTGCCACTATCGAGGATGGTGAAGTTGCATGGGAGATTTTAGGGAGATGACAACTCACTAATTGTATTTCAGAATTATGTTAAGGAAAGATTTGTTTCTTGATCGTGTATAACACCATAAACGTTTATTTCTCTGCTTTAGTGACTTCTCTATGATGTTTAACAAGTTCCATGATGCAGTCTCTGGTTCTTAATCAGTTTTTAATGAAAAACAACTGTGGTAGTATACTGTTCCTAGTTGTGGTCTAATTTCCTTCCTATTTGAATAGTTTTTTAAAGTGTATTTTGAGGGGAAAAATACGTTAATACTCCTCCTCTACTATACGATTAGCTTTTTAAAATATTTTGAAATAGATGATGATGAAGAATTTCTCCAAGCACAATATACATTTTCTTGTGGGGAGAGCTGGAAGGTTTAATTAAAGACACAGGAGAAGAAAGAGTGGGCCAACCATCAGGTGCCTGTACCTGCTCAGAGGCCTCTCGTAATTCCTGTTCGCTTCCCTGGACCTTTTTTTTTTAATAGACTTAATTTTTTTTTAGAGTAGTTTTAGGTTTACAGGAAAATTGGGTGAAAAGTACAGAGTTTCCATATTAGCTTTCACTGTCCCCCACCCCCCAGTTTCTCCGATTTTTAGCATATCTTGCATTACTGAGGGTTCATTCATTATAATTGATGAGCCAATATTTGTACATTAATATTAACTAAAGTTCATGGCTTACATTTGGGTTCACTGTTGGTGTTCTATATTCTGTGGGTTGTGACAGATGCTTAATGTCATGTGCCCATGATTATGGTATCATACAGAATAGTTTCACTGCCCTAAAAATCCCCATGCTCTGCCTGTTCTCCCACCTCCTCCCTAATCCTTGATCATTTTGCTCTCTCTATAGTTTTGCCTTTCCCAGCGTGTCATGTGGTTGGAATCACACAGTAGCCTTTTCAGACTGGCTATTTTTGCTTAGCAATATGCACTTAAGGTTCTTCCATGTCTCTTTAAGGCTTGATAGCTCATTTCTCATTGCTGAATAATACTGAGTTTTGTGGATGCACTACAGTTTCTTTACATTTGCCAACTGATGCCCATCTTAGTTGCTTCCAAGTTTTGATAACTGTGAATAAAGATGTTGTAAACATGAGATCGTAGGTTTTTGTGTGAATATAAGTTTTCAGCTCATTTGGGTAAACACCAAGGAGTGCAGTTGCTGGGTCATGTGGTCAGAATGTGTTTAGTTTTACAAGAAACTGCCGGCCTGTTTCCCAAAGCGGCTATACTGTTTTGCATCCCCACCAACCATAAATGGGAGTTCTTGTTGTTTTGTGGACATTTGGACTTAGTATATCCGTAACTCTTTGATCTAGCAGTGTTAAGTTGGGATTGTGGCATTACTGCCACTTTCCTTTTTGAGAATCTAATGCCCACTTTCTCTAGAGGAATCCACTTGTTGCATGTAACTTGTAAAATTTTATAATATTGAGGTTCATGGCCTGGAGTCCATGTTGAGAGTGTCTGCTTTAGCCTCTAAAATATTTAATATCTCAGTCCGAAATCTGAAAGAACAGGAAGTCCTCGATGGAAACAAACCCTTCTAATCATTAACTATCTTTTCCTTACGTGACAAGAACAACTTACCTTTTATCTTGTTCATTAAGAAAGGACTGGGTTTCTTTAAGAAAGGACTGTCAGAAAGTCTGGGTTAGACGTGCAGGGTAAAGTCGCTTTCTTAGTTAGCTGGGGAAGAAGTGACCAAGAGTGGTGTTGACCCAGACTCAGATCCTTGTGTAGTCGATCCATTTATGTCACTGAATTTGTTTTAAAGAACAGGCTGGAAGTTTGAAGTAGGGAGAGAGGAGGAACGGGCAATGGATATTTGTCAATATAAAAAAAGATGTATTTTCAAAATTTATAGACTAAAAACTTTGGGTATCCCAAAGCAATTCATTTTACTTTGTTTATATGCAGATAAAATAATACATTAAATTAGGTAGACTTTAAAAAAATGCACTCTGGCATTTCAAATCCAAGGCATTTGGGGGCAGGAGGAGACCGTGGAGTTTCCTCTGCGCACCATCCTCACTTCAGCAGACAGGGAAGCTAGGATTAAGGGGTTTGGCTTCGGTCACACTTCTAGGCAGCAACCAGAACCTGCATGTCCTGACTTTGGTCCAGTGTGCGGTGCCACGACCCTGTCTAAAAGTTAAAAGGTATAGAGATAATTTTTTTTTAAAGAAAGAAGAAAGAAATGTAGTACACGCCATGAAATCTTGTATGGAAGGACGTGCCCCATGGGGATTCCACAGAGTGCTTCACGGTGAACACATTTAGCATAGGAAATTATGACATTGAATCCCGTTGCTGTTTTCCTTGCCCATTCCCTAAGGGTTTGTCAATGTTTGGTCATTATGGTCCCTGACCTCTGGGTATTTACATGGATTTTGTGTTTTTCCTCATGTTTTAAAAACTATTTATTTGTTAAACATTTTGACTCTGTCTCTATCTGATATTAAGGATTCATTTTAGATAGGAGGACAGCAGAGATCACAAGCTGAATCTGACCGTCTGGCTCCACTGTTCCTTTTTAAAAATTACCTCTACTTTTAGGACCATTGGTGCCCCCTAGTGAGATAACTGAGTAAAAGCACTAGTTTAGTGAATGGAAGCTGTTAGCGTTTAAAAAGAGACGGCTTAGCAATGTTGTTGACCATTAAAAATCCTGTTTCTGATTTTTGTTTTCAAGAAATTGAGACCAAGAAATGAACAGCGAGAGAATGAATTGATTATTTCTTTTCTGAGATGTTTATATGAAGAGAAACAGAAAGAACACATCCATATTGGGGAGATGAAGCAGGTATGGCATTTTTGTCTCTTGTAATTGTTGCCAAGTCTCTGTGTAGACAACGTTTTGAGGATTTTCTGAAACTCTGATACCTCTTTTTCTCTCTCTGTTTTATTTTCCTTTGTTGCACATAGAGGGGAGATTTGGGGGTGTTAGATTATGCATGCTTGAGAAGATAGGAAAAGTTTCTGTCTGCACCATAGCAGAGTTGGAACAGCTGCTCTAATAAGAGGACTGGCTTAGAGCAGCAAGAATTGAGTGTAAGAGTGGATGCCACCAAGATGAGCTGCTTGGCTTGCAGGGAGCTGGTCTGTCACCTCGCCTTTCTTCTCTGTAAACCTGGACAGACATTGCATGGCTGCCTTTGGAATTACAAAAAGTACCTGAACGTCCTTTGTGATACAAATGCTAGGTCACAAATCAGATACAATGTTAGCAAGCCTGACTTATGTGCTCTTCAGGTTAGAACTTGGATTAATTCCATTTTGCATGATGAAAATACAGAGTCTCCCTCCCCTCCACTGTCTACAGCATTATTTAACTTTTCTCTTTGTGGGGTCTCAAGGTAGAAGCTGAGGCTCTCTGCAGATCTCTCCCTTGGAAGATCTTCCCGTTTGGGAGTCCCTATGTTATGTGGTACCGCAGACCATTTCCTTTGTCTTTTGGACTCCGTGTGAGTCCATTCGTAATGAACCATTAATAGCTTCAAAACATACAGGTTTTATGTTTGCTAAAGTTACGTGTTGGCCAAAAATCTAGGGGAAAATCAGTGAAGGATGTACAAGTTTCTCAGTTTCCCAAAAGTGTGTCCCCTTTTCTTTTTGAACACTCCCCGCATGCGTGTGCCAAAGACTCTTCTGTGCTCAGCGGTGTGCCCTGTCCCACCGCAGCCTCTGCGTCTGGACCCTAAACCAAGTGTACAGTTTTCATGGGGTGTACACTTAGCAAATCTCCTCATTAGCTTTCTACCTTCCGATGGCTTAGGCAAATGCATGCCTTCCCTGAACCCTTGGGCTGGTGTACAGTGTCAGCCATGGTTTCTAATCTCATTGGCCAGCCATGGGGTCCTTTAGCAGTGACTCTAACATGAGTATATGACCTGTGTTTTTTTTTTTATTTTTGACTTTTGGTCTTGATTTGTAGCCATTCCTCCCTTCTCAGCCTGTACCCTTAAGATGGCATTCAAGTTCTGTGTGTCTCCTGTTCACTTTTGGATGGACCACACAATCTAAGTTTTCAGTTAATTCTCGAGTTCATTTTTCGCCTATTTCTTTTCTCTTTTCCACTCCCTTTTCCCCCTCTTGTGCCACTGATTTTTTTCCCTGTTCCGACTATCTTTTATCTGAGTCAGTCTGATGTGTTCCAACAGAAAATTGATAATTTTGGAGTAATTTATAACTGCTAGAAAGGGGAATGAAGCATTTACGGTGGATGGAAAGTCTTCTTTTACTAAACATTTTGAGCATTTGTGGTGAATGGAAAGTTTTGACCTAACTGCAGACTCATTTTTATGGACCAGGATATTTTTATGGTTTGAGCATAGATCATCCAATAGAGAAATGTGTTTAATGTTCCCTGCCCCCCCGCCAAAGTATAAGAGTTCAGTGTAGAAGCCTTACAAGCAGAACTGGCGTCTGTGCAACACTTTTACTAGGGGTTTCTAAACATCATGACCCAGAAGGCTCATGTCTTCATCTATAAAGAAGCTGCCCTAATCCCCTGATGAGGCTGGTGTACTCCAGGCTGGACATTCTCATGGGCTCTGAGGAGTGGGCTTCTCAGAGCAGCAGCTGCTTTATAGACCTGTTAGGCACAGCTTTGAGGTTCACTGATAGATTCTTTGCATGTTTTCTGCTATCAGTTTAGCCACATGGATTTCATTACCTTCTTGTTGGACCTAAAAATTTCTAAAGCTTTTGTAAATGTGGGAAGATGTGACCTAGACCGTGGTAGGATCATGACTTTGACAAAGAACTTCTCTGGCTACAGGACTTCAAAAGTGGACAGAGGACAGCGAGCACTCCTCTCCGTGCTCAGGGTTGGCAGGGAGGCCATATGTGCTTTTCAAAGACCAAAAGAATAGTGCTGGGTAACTGTCAGAGGAGTTGCGAAATAGAAAAAACCCTGAATGAGTCTTTTGATCTTACAGAACAGGGTTCAGTTTGGGCAAGACTTATACATTAAGTTAGAGGCTGTCACATTTTAGTCAGTGGACTTGTCGTTTCCACCTGTATTCACAGAGGTGGTACAAAAATTAGTATGAAATCAGCTGTCACTTACTGAATGTTTACCAAGTGCCAGATACAGTTCTCATTCCTTATGTAAATGACTCCATTCATTCTACAGGATTTTTGAGGTAGGTGGTAAAATACCCATTTTATAGATGAGGAAGTGGGGAAGAGCAGTCAAGCAGTTAGCTAGTGAGTAGTGGAGTCACTGTGTCTGACATCTAAGTACTTTATCTTAATTATTATTTATTTTTTTAAGGAGCTTAACAAAATTTGATGCTATATAACTACTTACTGATTTCCTTGGGTCTGTTTTCTAGCAGATAAGATTTTCTTTCTTTTTTTTGTGACATTTTATTATGAAACATTTCAAACATATAGAGAAGTTGAAAGAATTATACTATGAGCACTCATAAACCCACCATCCAGATTTTACAGTTTTAAACATTTTGTTAATTTGGTTTATCATATATCTATTAGTCCACCTTATTTTTCCATGCCTTTCAAATTAAGTGATATCAATACCCTTCATCCCTAAACACTTTAGCATGCATTTCATTAACTAGAATTTAGTGTTTGTTTCCAATTTGGGGGAGATGAAATTTACATATGGTAGGTTATGCAAATCTTAAGTGTACTGTTTGTTGAGTTTTGATGACTGCTACTACATTCAGGTAGCTCAAACCACTATCAAGATATAGAATATTTTCATCCTGCCGCACACGGTGGCTCATGCCTGTGATCCCAGCACTTTGGGAGACCGAGCCGGGCGGATCAGGAGGTCAGGAGATCGAGACCATCCTGGCTTAACACGGTGAAACCCCATCTCCACTAAAAATACAAAAATTAGCCAGGCGTGGTGGCGGGCGCCTGTAGTCCCAGCTACTCGGGAGGCTAAGGCAGGAGAATGGCGTGAACCCGGGGAGCGGAGGTTGCAGTGAACCAAGATTGCACCACTGCACTCCAGCCTGGGTGACAGAGACTCTGTCTCAAAAAAAAAAAAAATTTTTTTTCATCCTACCAGATAGTAGCCCTATATTCCTCTACTAGTCAGCCCTTACTACCCCTTCCCCCAGGTAACCACTGTTTTGATTTTTTTTCACCTTAGATTAGTTTTGCCAGTTCTAGAATTTCTTATAAATGGCATGATACTCTTTTGAGTTCTGGCTCCTTCCGCTTAGCATAACATTTCTGAGACTCATCAGAAACATTATGCTACATTGTTGCATGGATCAGTTGCTTGTATCAGTAGTTTGTTCCTTTTTGTTCTGTGGTATTAATGTCAGGAGTTTCTTTCTCCATTCTCCTTCTGAGCTGCTTGATTATGAATAAGGCTGCTGGTAGATACATTGTGCCAGCCTGGGATGGTGGGTTCTGAACTGAGAATTTCAGTGTAGCATAAGGATTTAAAACTTGAATCTGAACTTTCATGCCTAGAGTTCACCCATCTGTCGAAGGATGTGCAATATGATGACTGCGATTGAATTCACTGTGGAGCCTCCAAATTAGAAATTGCCGGGCGCGGTGGCTCACGCCTGTAATCCCAGCACTTTGGGAGGCCGAGACGGGCGGATCACGAGGTCAGGAGATCGAGACCATCCTGGCTAACACAGTGAAACCCCGTCTCTACTAAAAAATACAAAAAACTAGCCGGGCGAGGTGGCGGGCGCCTGTAGTCCCAACTACTCGGGAGGCTGAGGCAGGAGAATGGCGTGAACCCGGGAGGCGGAGCTTGCAGTGAGCTGAGATCCGGCCACTGCACTCCAGCCCGGGGCGGCAGAGACTCCGTCTCAAAAAAAAAAAAAAAAAAAAGAAATTATTGTCTACAAGGGCCAGGCACAGTGGCTCACGCCTATAATCCCAGCACTTTGCGAGGCTGAGATGGGAGGATTGCTTGAGGCCAAGAGTTTGAGACCAGCATAGTCAATATAGCGATACCCCATCTGTTTTTTGTTTTTTGTTTTTTTTTTAAAGAAATTACTCTTAAGAACCAGCATCATCTTCCAAGGAGAAACTTCTAGATACTTATTTTAAGATAAATAAGGAACAAGTTATATTCTGAATGTGAATTATTTTTTAAATGCAATTTTTTAAACAAACTTTATTTGAATTATGGCAATAGACATGGAAAACAATCTTTTTTGATAGTAGGGGACAGCAGAAGAAACACTGAATTAAGTACACAGAGATTCTTCAGGCCTGCTTTAAAAACACAAGCATACAAATGCACTTCTGTCTCTTAGGATCTACTAACTGATGCTGCTTGCTTTAGTCTTTTAGCTAATATTTCTTTTCTTTTCTTTTTTCTTTCTTTCTTTCTTTCTGTCTGTCTGTCTGTCTGTCTGTCTGTCTTTCTGTCTTTCTGTCTTTCTTTCTTTCTTTTTGACAGAGTCTTGCTCTGTTGCCAGGCTGGAGTGCAGTGGCACAATCTTGGCTCACTGCAACCTCCGCCTCCCGGATTCAAGCGATTCTCCTGCCTCAGCCTCCTGAGTAGTTGGGACTACAGGCATGGGCCACCACGCCCAGCTAATTTTTGTATATTTAGTAGAGACGGGGTTTCACCGTGTTGGCTGGGATGTTCTCTGTCTCTTGACCTCGTGATCTGCCTGCCTTGGCCTCCCAAAGTGCTGGGATTACAGGTGTGAGCCACTGCGCTCGGCCAATATTTTCTTTATATGTCAAAACAATTCAGTTTGCTTCACTTTTATGAAAGGTTTATTATGAGTTTGAAAGCAATTCTCCCTTTTCTTAACTTTGTAACTGGTGTTGAGTAGAAGGCAGGTCCCTGGGGGCCCTTTGTGTGTAATTCCCTTTACTCTGGAGGCTGCCTCGAGCCTGGACAGGCCCTTACACTTGGTCAGTGATTGCACAGAACCAGTTGCAACAGGTAAGGCGCCTCCCTGTGGCGCATAGCATTTCGCAGGCACTTGGTCACTATTTGCTGAGTGAGTCTGTTACCTTAGGTGTGTATTTCCCGTGGACCTGCCAGGGGATCATTGCTCATTCACTCATTTTGAACAAGCCAATATTACATGTCCAGGGTATGCTCTGTAGTGTGAAACACAAAGGTAAATGATAGTTTCCCTTCTCAAAGGAATTTCTAAGCTAGTAGCCATTCTTTTGATGCATATTCTCATTCTCATAGAATTAAAATTATGGATAATTGGACAAAGCTGAATGTCACTCTAATCAGAATCCATTCTTTTTCTTTCATGCCTTGAAAAATATGTAGCATTCATTAGTGAATTAGGATTTCATTATTCAAAGAAGACATTCAGGTCTTCGAACAGCAGATTACTGAATAAAATAATGCCTAATAGCAATAGAATGAGGGGAAGACATAGTTAAGGAACATTTTATGCCCATTAGACTGGCAGAAATTTAAAAAATGTGACAATACCTTATAAAGGTGAACTTTCCTATACTGATACTGAGAATATGAATTGGTACCATTCAGGGGAGAGAAGCTTGATAGTATCTGGTGTAGCTGAAGAGGCACAGTCCCTGTGACCCAGTGAGGACATCCCTCATTATTTCCCTTGCCAAACATTTCACGTGAGTCTGTAAGGAGCTCTGTACAAGATAGGTCACTGCAGCCTCCTTTGTAAAAGCAAGAAAAAAAAAGCAAATAAGTGTTTAACAATAGGAACATGGATAAATTAGGTTATACAGTGAAAATGTGCACTCTGGCTAAAGTGAGTGAATCAGAAAACATTTGTCAGCAGGAGTAAATCTCAAAAATAGTATTGCAAGAAGGAAGCTAATTTACAGAAGGATGTATGCAGTATGACACCTTTCATTTAGTTTCAACTACATATCTTTTATGGACACATACATACATATAAAAGTAGAAAACATGAATTGATAGGATAAACACCAAATATTTCTGCATATGGCCAGATGTGGGGAAGTAGTGGTGATTAAGCTTCAAAGATGTCTGTAGTGGTTCCCATTAAAAGTAGGAAGTAGGCTGGGCACAGTGGCTCACACCTGTAATTCCAGCACTTTGGGAGGCCAAGGCAGGTGGATCGCTTAAGGCCAGGAGTTGGAGACCAGCCTGACCAACATGGCGAAACCGCATCTCTACAAAAAATACAAAAATTAGCCGGATGTGGTGGCGCACACCTGTAGTCCCAGCTACTCGGGAGGCTGAGGCATGAGAATTGCTTGAGCCCAGGAGGTGGAGGTTGCAGTGAGCCAAGATCGCACCACTGCACTCCAGCCTGGGCGACAGAGTGAGACTCCATCTCAAAAAAAAAAAAAAAAAAAAAAAAAAAGAGGCTCATAGAACAGGTAATAGTCATGATATCTGACGTTTTTTGAGTGTCTGGTTTACATTTTTGTTTTTATTTTTTGAGACAAATCTCACTCTGTCACACAGCCTGGAGTGTGGTGGTACGATGTCAGCTCACTGCAATCTCTGCCTCCCGGGTTCAAGTGATTCTCCTGTCTCAGCCTCCCAAGTAGCTGGGATTACAGGCATGCACCACCACACCTGGCCAATTTTTACATTTTTAATAGATACAGGGTTTCGCCATGTTGGCCAGACTGGTCTCAAACTCTTGACCTCAAATGATTCATCTGCCTCAGCCTCCCAAAGTTCTGGGATTACAGGCATCAGCCACTGTACCCCGCCTTGGTATATGTGTTTTGATTTGTATTCATTCATTTAAGCCTCATGACAGCTCCGCGAGGAAAGTTCACTATGCATCCTCAGGCTGCAGGTAGAGGGCCTGAAAGGGACAGGAGATAACAGTTTGGCCAAGACCACAGAGCCAGGGAATAGCAGAGGAACATTTCACCTGGGCATTGCACTCCAGAGCTGTGCTTCTCACTGTTCTCAACCCCTGGCAAACGCTCACTTGAACAAAGCCAGGTGGTGATACAAAGGTATTTATTTGTTATATTAGTCTCTACACTTTTCTGTGTGCTTGAAATATAACAACTGCAACAAATAATATGTCAGTATTTAGAGTAATGGGGGATTTGCTTTTGTGTGTGTGTGTGTGTGTGTGTGTGTGTGTGTTTTTGAGATGGAGTCTCACTCTGTCGCCCAGGCTGGAGCGCAGTGTCATGATCTCGGCTCACTGCAACCTCCACCTCCTGGGTTCAAGTGATTCTCCTGCCTTGGCCTCCTGAGTAACTGGGAATACAGGTGTACGCCACTACGCCTGGCTATTTTTTGTATTTTTAGTAGAGACGGGGTTTCCCCGTGTTGGCCAGGCTGGTCTCAAACTCCTGACCTCAGGTGATCCACCCACCTTGGCCTCCCAAAGTGCTGGGTTACAGGCATGAGCCACTGCACCTGGCCGTTTTTTTTTTTTTTTTTTTTTTTTTTTTTTTTTGAGACGGAGTCTCGCTCTGTCGCCCCTGGAGTGCAGTGGCCGACCTCAGCCACTGCAGCTCCGCTCCGGGCCGCCATTCTCTGCTCAGCTCCGAGTAGCTGGAACAGGCGATCGCCGCTAGTTTTTTGTATTTTAGTAGAGACGGGTTCACCGTGTAGCCAGATGGTCTCGATCTCCTGACCTCGTGATCCCCGTCTCGCTCCCAAGTGCTGGATACAGCTGAGCCACCGCCCCGGCCGTTTGTTTTTCTAACAAAATTATTTTCTAACAGAAAGCAATCAGGTGAGAATCCACATAAGAAACAAATTCAGAGATATTTGTTGTATATTTTTTAAAAATGTACCTTCAACTGGGTGTGTTAGCTCACTCCTGTAATCCCAGCACTTTGGGAGGCCAAGGCAGGTAGATCACTTGAGCTCAGGAGTTTGAGATCAGCCTGGCCAATGTGGTGAAACCCCGTCTCTACAAAAAATAGAAAAAATTAGCTGCGCGTAGTCCCAGCTACTTTGGGGGCTGAGGTGGGAGGATTGCTTGAACCTAGGAGGTCAAGACAGCAGTGAGCCATGATTGTGGCACTGCACTCCAGCCTGGGCAACAAAGTGAGACCCTGGCACCCTGTCTCAAAACAAAAACATAAACAAAAAAGCACGTCCTTGTAAATAAGTAACACTAAGACTTCATTTAGTACAACTCCATTGTATTTTTATTTTCATTTTCTATGGCCAGTAGTTAAGGGAGAGAAGCTTGGTTGCAGAGAATGAAAGGACGATGGGAAAATAAAAGTAGGAGAGAGGAAAATGCAAGAAAGCAGAGATCTGTAGAAAGGGACGAAGGGTTTGTATAGGCAGAGAAAATATGTTCTTTAATTGAGAAATTTCTGTTTCACCATCTGAAATGCCCTCAAAGGTAAGTTATTGCTTTATTTTGAAAAACTAATCATAGCTACCTTTGTCCCACACTGTGTTCAATGCTTTACACACTTTACCTGTTTTAGTCTCACAACACAGTGTTATGATTCGATCTTGCCATTGGTCTCACTTTGCTGAAGAGGAAGTTTGAGGCTCAGAGAGAGTAAGAAACTGGCAGAAGACCACAGTTAGGGAAGACAGATCTCTGATCCAGTTGCAGAGTCTGAGCAATAAACTGCTTCACCTGATTGGTTTCAAAGCACATTTCCTCATTTTACTTGGGGTAATCACAGCAGCTCTCTGAGGCAAAATTATTTCCTGGACTTGCAGCCATGTCACTAAGGAGCAGATGAGGTGAGATCACAGACAGAATCAGAATGATGGCCTGGTGCCAAAAAGATGTGTCCTAGAGATTCTTCATTCCTTTAAGAAGGAGAGGAGGAAGCGATAAGTGACTTAACTTTTCATTTTTCACTTTTTTAGACATCGCAGATTGCAGCAGAGAATATCGGAAGTGAATTACCACCCAGTGCCACTCGATTTAGGCTAGATCTGCTGAAAAACAAAGCAAAGAGATCTTTAACAGAGTCTTTAGAAAGTATTTTGTCCCGGGTAAGTAGCATAATTTCTCCCAATTTAAGTTAAATCACTTTTTAGGAGAGTGTTAGATTGAGTTATATGCTTTTATTCCATCAATGTTCATAAAGGTAAAAGTATAAAACCTTTTTTTTATGTTTTCTCAGGCTTAGAACAATATTATCTACATTTTAAATTGTTTTTAATTTGACCTAGGTTTAAAAGAATATGTATTCCTTACTCTTTTGTATTATATCCAATGGGATTTTTTTTAACCTCCCCAAATAATATTTGTTGACCAGTCCCTATAAAGAGCATGCCTTAGATACACTGAGGTGTGGTTTCTGTTCTCCCTAGTATTACTGTGTATAACTTTAAAAGCAGTTACTGTCAGCTGCTGGTGTTAGGTTTCTAAAAGGCTATATAGTAGGGGTCAGCAAACATGCCCATTGGCCACATTCCACCCACCTCTACTTTTGTAAAGTTTTATCAAAACACTGCCACATCCATTCATTTATCTGTTATCTAAGGCTTTTGTTTTGCAGACTTCAACAGTTGCCACAGACACTATATGCCTCACAAAGCATAAGACACTTACTATCTGTCCCTTTACAGAAAACGTTTACCAAATATAGCTCTATAGAAAAAACAAAGTACACACGTACATCAATCTGGGAGTTCTTTAAGAAATTACACCTCCCTCCCATGAGTGTAAATAGCCTTGATGGCACGTCTGAGAAATCAAATCTGATTTTCCCTCAGAGTTTCACGCCTTTCTGGAGTATGCAGTATCTTCTTATAGTTCTTCTTGATTTTATCGCACACTTCTTTTGAAACATCTGATTTTTATTATTTTTTTAATTAAGGAAAGTTAAATTTTATTTTCTTTGAAGATGTTTCTGAGAATTTTGTAGTATCTTCTGAGATCATGAAAAACAGTTGATTTACAAAACCAGAATTGGGAGGGGCTGCATTTGAGAGCTCTCAAAGGGATAGAGTGCTGTCTGAGTGACAAGCTGCTGGCCATTATGATGACTTGTGACCCAGGGGAGGGAGTTGCTGAGTGGGCTTGCTTGAGCGCTTGATTTTCCTTATAGACGAATTGTCTTGTCTTTCTGCCTGTCACCCCTGCCAAATTACTCAGCCGCCAGGTGTTTTGGAACGTTTAGGTTAGTGTCTTTTTTTTTTTTTTTTTTTAAATGATGGAAATGTTGATTATTTTAATGTACATATATCCTTAGTAGTATTTCTCAGTAGATATATTTTTTTCCTCAGCTTATTTAAATGGACCAATCTGCTTCTAGCTGATGCCTTTGCAAAAGCCTCCAGGGTCATAACTCGACTGCCTTTTCTTTATATAGGGTAATAAAGCCAGAGGCCTGCAGGAACACTCCAGCAGTGTGGATCTGGATAGCTCCCTGTCTAGTACATTAAGTAACACCAGCAAAGTAAGCACATTTCTCTTTATATGACACCCTGAAGAAACCAACAAATCGGTCTTGCTCATCTCCTGTCTACATGCCTCCAATCATTTGCTGCTTCCAAATTTCTTGGCACAGGTGGATGACTGGTCATGCAGGTCTATCATAACATAAAAGTTTTACATGAAAGAGCAGATGGGGCCAGGCTCAGTGGCTCATGCCTGTAATCCCAACACTCTCAGAGGCCAAGGTGGGCAGATCATGAGGTCAGAAGATCGAGATCATCCTTGCTAACACGGTGAAACCCCGTCTCTACTAAAAATAAAAAAAATTAGCGCCTATAGTCCCAGCTACTAGGGAGGCTGAGGCAGGAGAATGGCGTGAACTCGGGAGGCGGAGCTTGAAGTGAGCCGAGATCGAGCCACTGCTCTCCAGCCTGGGCGACAGGGCGAGACTCCGTCTCAAAAAGAAAAATAAAATTTAAAAAAAAAGCAGATGGTCATTCCATAAACAAAGAAACAAGATCACAATTTGAGACAAGTAAGATCTAATTTGTCACAATACAATCAATGGATTTCTTTCTCAAGTAGATTTTCCTATTAAAAAATAATTAATATTGGGAAAACCTCAAAAAGTGGATTTGTGAATTTAGAGGAGTATACAACTTAAATTTTTCTTGTTTAAAAACATTTTTATTTTGGATTTAGGGGTACATGTGCATGTTGATTACATGGGTATATTGCATACTGGTGGGGACTGGGCTTCTAGTGTACCCCTTTATCCAAGTAGTGAACATTGTACCCAATAGTTAATTTTTCAACTTCCACACCCCCTTTCATTCTCCCCCACTTTTGGGGAAATTAAATTTCTGAAACTTTATCCTGTAGCTGGCTCTATGATTATAATGAACCATTACTGTTTTATTTAAATAAGCAAGTATCTATGTCCTTCTTTTAATAACTTGTTTTCCAGACATTTAATCATATTTAAACCTGGCCAGTTCAACGTTATAACTGCTGAAAAGCAGGTTTGGGTCTTGTGCTGGGGGGCCAGCTTTCCCTTCTGCTACCAGAGGACTCTCTTTTGCAGTAGTGAGGGAGGGAGTGTTTGCGGAGTCCAGCTCCTTACCACAGGCAGGGTTTACAGTCCTCTGCCATCCCTCCTAGACACATGGCTTTCAGAATTTTTCTAACCTACAGCAAGAAGCACATTTAACATTGTGGCGTAGTTCACAAACACACATACCTACACACACATACCTACACATTCACACACAAAATTAAAAGTTAACAAAACAATATTTACTGTGAACAACATATAATACAAACTGATATTTTGTTCCATTTTAAAAATGCTCATGGCAGACTACTCAGTTGTACCACCTACTAACGTGATAGAGGGCCCAGTTTGAGATACACTTCCTTAGATGAGTGCTTCTCAAATTTTAGGTGCCTTCATCATGGGGTTCTGGTTAAAGTGCAGATCCTGGTTCAGTAGGCACTGGAGGAGGCCTGAAATGGTGCATTTCCAACGAGCTCCAAGGCAATGCTGTTGCTCCTGGTCTGCAGACCCCCTCTGGGGAGTGAGGAGCTAGACAGCAGTCTTGTAAATGTGAGTTTCTAAGCTAAAATCCAGGGGAACATAGCGTCGTCCAGCCTCCGTCTAATACACACTGATCCCACCCTGCAATTCATTGCAAGTGTGGAAAACCTTTTGTCTATTTGTTGTATACAGACGAACCACACACAGCCCCTTTCATGTAGGCAGTTACCTAGGAGGTGAGAGATGACAGATGCACAAACAGCTGCAGCATCAAGCAGAGTGTGGTAGGAGCCCAGAAGTTACAAATAAGAGACATTGGTAATTTCAATGTCAGAAGAGCAAGGGGAGGGGAAGTTAGGTTTGGTCAGTGGAACCAGGAAAAAGGTGAGGGGTAAGGGGCCAGTGATGCTATTGGACTAAATCTTGGTGTAGGAATTGTGCCTATGGAAGTGAACAGAGAAGAAGGCATTCCAGACAGACCAGTGTCAATAGAGATACAATGAAGAAATTCATGTCACTCAGGTGGCTTTCCAGTAAGCCTTATTGCTTGCTTTTTATTTTTCTCCAAAATGCAGAAATAGTAATATATACATATTCATTCTTCAGTACTTGATAGTTGTGAAGATTCTTTTAAAAAGTTATAAAAGTCTATCTAAGATTTCAATTTCTAGAGTCATTCTAAGAGAGATGCTACTTTTCAGAAGCTGCTTGTGTGTATTGTGTATGTTTATGCGTACTTCTTTACATCTTTCTTTTATTCATCTTGAATTGAGAAACTGCTATAAAGATACTCTATTTTATGTAATTTGATCTGTTCTAATAAATTGGTCACCTACGAGATGCAAAGAAGCCAAATAGCCCTGAAATTTGACAAATGAAAATGGCCCTTTCAGTTGTCCAGTTAAGCTAAGGGTTAGCTCTTTGATCTAATTTGGAGGGATATTAATAAGAACTTAGATCAACAGGTTTGCATGATGAAGATTGTCTTCTGTGATGTGTTGTCTTAGACAGACTTTTAAATCCTTAAAAGAATCTTCACAGCCATTGAGTCCTGAAGAATGAGAAACTTGAGTTATGAAAGTAATCAACATTTCATAGTATGCTGATGTTTTTTATAAAATTAAATATATGTAACTTCTCCCTTTAATAAACAAATTTCATTTTTTTTTCAAATTAAAACCCTCAATACCTGCTACCTAAAAGGCACTCAACTGTGTATCAAATGAACAGGTAGAATTCAGAGTCTCCAGTCCACTATTAGATATATTCATTCCTGTTTATTCATGTTGATTTATTTTTTCCCTTTCAACAATTTCAATAGGGGAAAGCTGCTACAATTCCTCTTTTTAAATATTTTAGATATATTAAAAATATACTGGCCACTAGCCACGTCCTGGGTGCAGTGCTAAACATCAGTTTGCTCGAGTGGTAGTAGTTCATTCCTTTGAAAAAGCATGCATCGTGAAGGCATACAACTTTAAAATGTTGTCATGATTCTCAACAAATGTTTGAGCACTCCATAGATTGTTGCATACCTAATAAAACAATACCTTACGTTTGTATAACATTTTACAACCTAAAAAGTACTTTTGGTTGTATTATCTTGCTTTGTTCTTGAAACTCCGATAAATTTTTACTATACCCTCTTACAGATGAAGAAATTGAGGTGCAGAAAGAATTTATTTCCCCTGAATTGCAGCAATAAGTGCCTACAGAGTGATTTTCCATATTCTAAGAATATTGATACAGTTCTTAATGTCAGATTATGAAGTTGAATCTCAACAGTAGATCAGATTCGGAGAGAGCTTTAAAATGTGGGTTTAACATGAGTGAACACATGTGGCAAAGATAAAGAACTTGGTTAAGCCGTGGAGACAAGTTGTCCAGCACTCACACTCCTTAGAAGCTGTAGGAAACAGTCCTGTTTTCTAGAGAGAGGGCACTATTCTTGGCGTTGCCCAGAACGTTACAGATTGTAGCTTATGTCCTCCACTCCTGCACTTGGCCAGTTTTCCCACTTCTCCAGCAAGCCAGCAGTGTGTCCTTGAGGAGCTGGCATTTATTTAATGGACCTTCATTTTCTTCTGCTTTTGGTGGTGGCCTCTAGATGGCATTATAATCAGAACACATACTCAGATACTGAAATGTTTGCCTGCACTGGAACTAGAGATTTATAAATCCCACAAATTCCCCATGGCGTGTCTGATCTGCTGTGTGTTTGCTGTCAGGAGCCATCTGTGTGTGAAAAGGAGGCCTTGCCCATCTCTGAGAGCTCCTTTAAGCTGCTCGGCTCCTCGGAGGACCTGTCCAGTGACTCGGAGAGTCATCTCCCAGAAGAGCCAGCTCCGCTGTCGCCCCAGCAGGCCTTCAGGAGGCGAGCAAATACCCTGAGTCACTTCCCCATGGAATGCCAGGAACCTCCACAACCTGCCCGGGGGTCCCCGGGGGTTTCACAAAGGAAACTTATGAGGTATCACTCAGTGAGCACAGAGACGCCTCATGAACGAAAGTAAGATTTGTTTACATTTGTTGCATAAATAGCTGGGGCATATCTGTGACTAGCCGGGTATGTGCATCCCAGGTATGTTTACTGAGCGAGAGAAACGAGTAAGGCTTTACTCTTGGTTCAAAGAGATAAAACTGGAAGCAGTGACATGTTTGTTCGAGCTGCTGGTGTGTATACAAGCAATGGATACATGGCATTGTCAGGAAGCAGGTGAAAGTGAGCAAAAATGTTACCTGACATGCGCAGTCATTACTCCTCAAACAAAGTAAGAGACATTGCTGGCTGTGGAACATTGCTGCTGTGAGGAAGAGGGCAAGCAGATGAGTCTCCCCATCCGAAGCCCTGGAGCAGGGCTACAGCGGGAGGGAGAGGCGGTGACCCCTACAGGCAGAGCAGGAGAGGTATGCTGACCTTATGGGGTGACAGGGGTGCCTCGGCTTCTGGTCCTAGCTCTACTGTGAACTAATTGTGATGTGGACAAATTTGCTAAACTTCTCTGTATCACAAAATTGGAGTAGATGTTTTCTAAAATCTCTCACTGTAAGAATTCTAGATTCTTCTAACAAGATTTATTCGTTGTAACAGTTGGGTTTCAGTGACCAGTTAGAATCGTCTGGTTATGGAGAAGGGTACTCAGAAGTTCCCCCTGTTCCTTCCAAGTGTCCCTTAGTGATTCATTTGACTCTATGTGCCAGAGACTATGAATGGACACAGAGTTATCTTTAAAAACAACTTTAAGCAATTTAAAAAATCCCTCACCTAATATGAATCACGGTCACACCTGTGTACAGTTGCTGCCTTCTTCTGACTGGCAGCCGCAGAAGTCCCAGGACCTGTGTGTTCATGTAGTTCATACATGAATCATTGAGAGTGTGCGTAGTACAGAAGTGTTTGGAATGTTCTGAGTAAAGAAGTGTGAGCATTAACAGCCCTGGACGATGGAGCAGAGCCTCCCAGCTTTGTTTTCTATCAGCCATTGGAAAGAATTCTTGGTTGTTTGGAATTCAGTGGGGTAGTGGTGATCCCAAAAGCAGGGGACACGTCAGAAGGTACTGCTTAATAAATACACGCTTTTAGAGACACGCATCATTGGGTTGTAGCCCTGTAAGTTTCTTGTGTTTAACACCCTGTCCACACACTACTTCTGTTCTGCCTCACCACTGCCTGCCTACTCCTCTGTTGTTGGCGTTTTCAGTGATCATGGAAACATTCCTGTCTGGAGAGTCCTAGTTCTCTTGTGAAGTCTGCTGTTTCTCAAAAGCCAGAGTTGGTAGGACTCAGTATCAGTACTTTTCCTTTCTCCGTGAAGAATGTGGCTTCATAATAGATGATGTTACACATCCGTAATGAGAGGGATGGGGAGATGCCTGTCTGTCTGCCTCGCTAGCATGGCCCATTCTGCTTTCTTTCCCTCTTGTGAACTCTTTTCTGATTTATCTGCAGGAAATAAGACATTGAAATTCAGGACAGGATATTGTTCATTTTAAAGGGAAATATATTTTTTTAAAGTTCAGATTTTTTTTTTGCTTTTGTTTATACTTTAATTGAATTTTTTTTTTTCCTGCCAGTTCCTGAAAAAGGAAATAGAGAAAGAAATACTATTGTTCCTGGGCGAAGTGGCTCACTCCTGTAATCCCAGACCTTTGGGAGGCTGAGGTGGGAGGTTGCTTGAGGCCAAGAGTTCAAGGTTACAGTCAGCTATGATCGTGCTACTGCACTCCAGCCTGGGTGACAGAGTGAGACCTATTTAAAAAAAAAAAAAAAAAGTATTGCTGGGAGCATAAACACGTGGGAGATGGTCAAGAATGGCCATCGATATACTCTGTTTTTTAGTGAAAACTACCTTTGCCAGAGAGCGAGCAGAGATGAGGAAGAGGAGTGGAAGAAGTGCTCCACTCTGACAGTGTTACTGGAACAACGAGACAAAAGCAGTTGTGCTCCTTCCATCTGTTTGCTCCGTGTCCCTGTTGGCGCCCCCTCTCCTGCTAACCCCCCCGTGCTTTCTCTGATTGCTGTTTAGTGTGGATCCTTCACCTGTGGGTGAGTCTAAGCACCGCCCAGGTCAGTCTTCAGCTCCTGCTCCTCCACCTCGTCTTAACCCCTCCGCCTCCTCGCCAAACTTTTTTAAGTACTTAAAACATAATTCCAGTGGAGAACAAAGTGGGAATGCAGTGCCAAAGAGGTGAGCTCACTCACGTGGCAAGTTTGGTGTTGTCTGTTTTCCTGGGGAGTTCACACTGATGAGGACGTGCTGAATGGGGGGAATGTCCATGCAGGAAGCAGAGCCACTGTGTGTGTGTTTGTGTGTATGTGTGTGTATGTGTGTCTGTCTGTGTGTCTTTGTTTATATTTGGTCTTATTTTCAGCTGTCATTTGAACCAAGTTAATTTTACTGTTGATTACTTTTCTTAAAATTATGAAAACAGATGTTAATGGCAAATTGGTTTGTGTTTGGGTTTGTTTTTGTTTTTGAGACAGGGTCTCACTCTGTTCCCCAGGCTGGAGTGCAGTGGCGTGATCTCGGCTCACTGCGGCTTCTGCCTCGTGGGTTCAAGCAGTTCTTCTGCCTCAGCCTCCCGAGGAGCTGGGACTACAGGCACACGCCACCATGCCCAGCTAGTATTTTTATTTTTTTTTGTAGAGATGGGGTTTCACCATGTGGACCAGGTTGGTCTTGACCTCCTGACCTCAAGTGATCCGCCTGCCTCAGTCTCCCAAAAGTGCTGGGATTACAGGTGTGAGCCACTGTACCCTGCTGCAAATTGTTTTTTATATGCTTATTTTCACATTTCCTTGCCCTAGTGGACACTTAACATGCATGTGTATACACACACATGCACACACACACAGATTAACATCTGTGTTTGATCATGTACACTGCCATTTGTGCTATATCAGAAACTTCCTGATTGATTTAGGAGAATTATTTTTCCCAGTTTGAAAGGAAGAGTCATTTGGAAAATGGATTGGTTTTCGTTTTTAAAAAATTATCCCATTCATTTAAAATCAAATTTTGTTGGTGAAAATGAAAGTTAAATCTCATTCGTGAACTACTTTTACTTTCTTATCTAGTTTACTTTTCTTAGCATTAGAACAAAAATGTTTATTTTGAAGCTTATATTTTATACTTTGTGTTTTTATGTTTCTTTATCCTAAACTCTTTTTTCAACCAAACTCTTAGCATCTCCTACCGTAATGCCCTGCGGAAAAAACTTCATTCTTCTTCCTCTGTGCCAAATTTTCTAAAATTTCTGGCTCCTGTAGATGAAAATAACACCTCTGACTTTATGAACACCAAAAGGTAGGGCTTAATTTAGATATATCAACCCTGGGTGTTATTAAGTGTTGAATATCATTAGATATACAAGGTGTTTTAACTACTGTTTTGTCATTTAAAAAATCATTTCAGCTAAATCTGTTGTATCTTTCTTATACTTTTTTCTTACTGAATGTCATTTTAAAAAATGTGCAACCAACCTGTTCTTCAGTTTTGAGATTGAGGATTAGTTTATTTAAGTGTTATCTTAAGGAAAATCTTCGTCAAGTCTCTGAGACCAGTGTTTCTGGGTAGTGAGCATATGGCTGTTTCAAATCAGGATGTCTGATCTGTTCAGGACGTCTAATCTGTAAGTTGAGGGGATTGCTTAGTTACAGGTACACAACTTAGGTATAAATTAGAAGGGTCTTCTCAGGTTGTCCTGTGAATAGGAAAAAAATATGATTAGATTGTGTTTATATATTGATAACTATATTTTGTAGTTTAAAAAATATACACATTAAAACATCATCATCAATTGACTGCATAGTTATTGCCTTGCTGGTTCTGTGTAATTAAATTGCAACTTGTTTCATTTTTTGTGGGAATCCTTGGAGACATGGGCCTGTGCTGAGCAGATATTCCCATGTACAGAGGAGAGCAGAATGGGGCCCCTTGGCATTGCCCCTGCTTTTCCCCCTTTAGGCAGTTTCTCTTTTTCAAAGTGGCACCAAGAGAGGCCCAGTTGGAAGCTATGATCTGTGGAACATGTTTCTTAGTCTCTGTTACAATCGAAATCATTTAAGGGCATGTAATCGTTCTCTTTTTATGAAAAGAATTCTGTAAGAAAGCCGTTCTTTAGGAATGATGACCCACTGTGAGCTTGATATAACTTCTGTGATTGTTTATACAAAGATAGTTGATAATTTAGTGCTTTGTTTAAAAAAACTGTTAAGCTAGCAAAATCTCGTGAATTCCTCCCCACTAGTCATAAATCAATCATCTTATAATTTTAGGGACTTTGAATCCAAAGCAAACCATCTTGGTGATTCTGGTGGGACCCCTGTGAAGACCCGGAGGCACTCCTGGAGGCAGCAGATATTCCTCCGAGTAGCCACCCCCCAGAAGGCGTGCGATGCTTCCAGCAGATACGAAGGTAAGGCCCCTACCTGAAATGAAACTTCAAAAAGAGCAGCAAACATCCAGCTGACAGAGGACCCTGGGAGCCCCATCATATTGGTAAGAAAGCAGGGCGCTGTCCTCTTCAGTATTGGCAGGTCTGAGGCAGTCACAAAGGTAACTAGGGAGGGAGTTTAGAGGTTACCCTACACTTCTTAGGGAAGGAATTTAGAGCTCATTTAGGGTAACCTTTCCATAAACGGGCGCAGAGCTCTGATGTTGAGAGTGGTCACAACGTTACCAGTGGTGAATCCGGACAGGTCTGCAGGAACCTCACTTCTGGCCTCCTAGGACATAAGGCAAAAGGAGAGACTGAGGCAGGTTTTAGAGCAGGAGTGAAAGTTTACTAAAAATATCAGAGCAGGAATGAAAGGACGTCAAGTACACTTGGAAGATGGTCAGGTGGGCAGCTTGAGAGATCAAGTGTGTGATTTGGTCTTTTGACCTGGGGTTTTATATGTTGGCATACTGCCGGGGTCTTGCGTTCCTTCTCCCCTGATTCCTCCCTTGAGGTGGGCTGTCCCCATGTGCAGTGGCCTGCTAGCACTCGGGGGTTGCGGGGGAGCATGCGCAGGGTGTTTACTGGAGTTGTAGGCGTGCTTACTTGAGGCTTTCTTCCCTGTCCAGTCTAGCATTCCTAGAGGAGCGCTATGCACCAGTTAAACTCCGCCATTTTGCCTCTTAATGCGCATGCTTGAGCCCACTCGCCCAGCTACCGAGATCTTACTGGGAAGCTGCTACTCACCAGTTTCAGGTGTTTTGTATCTACTGGGAGCCCGCCCCTCCCTGGTGCCGGCTGTGACCAGTTCTCACTTTAGAGAAACAGTTAACAAATGCTTGACCATCACCTGATGGTCCCCTGACATTGCTGGTGTGTATCTGGGAGGGGACCTCTCCTGTCCTCCTCGTGTCTGACTAGCTACCCTGTAACCAAAGCGTGGACTTCGGAGTCTGCATTCAAATCCCAGCTTTTCCCCTTAGGAGCTGTGAACCAGAACAGGCTGTCTAAAGTTACCACCTATAACCTGGGATTAATTATGTCTGTTGCCACACTGATTGAGACAAGGCAGCATGCTATCATTACTGATACTTTTTTTTTTTTTTTTTGGATGGAATCTTGCTGTGTCGCCCAGGCTGGAGTGCAGTGGCGGGATCTCGGCTCACTGCAAGCTTCGCCTCCCGGTTCACGCCATTCTCCTGCCTCAGCCTCCCGAGTAGCTGGGACTACAGGCGCCCGCCACCTCGCCCGGCTAATTTGTATTTTTAGTAGAGATGGGGTTTCACCGTGCTAGCCAGGACGGTCTCGATCTTCTGACCTCTGATCCACCCGCCTCGGCCTCCCAAAGTGTACATTTTTTTAAAGCATTCAAAATGCATAGTACTGGAAAGAAAATCAGGGATGCGAACATTTCCAGGGTAATGTCACCTCCCATGCTGTGGAGGTCCCTCTGGTGAGCCTGGCCCGTTGCCTCTCTTGCCTCAGCCCTTCCATGTGGAGGCACCATGGAGCTGCCACTCACCAGCACCTTTTTTTTTCCCTCAAGTGGTTTGTACCTGTAAAGTATTCCTGCCGTGGGTGGCCCCTCGGTGGACTTGCTGAGCCTGGCCAGGGTTTGATTTCTCTTGCTGCCAGCCTGAGCCGGATGGCTGCTTCTCGCTTCCCCTGCCCCGTGGAGAGGCCTGCTTGCTGCAGAGAAGGGCTCTTCTTCTCAGGTCCTGTAGCACCCTGTTAGAGGGTGTGGAGTGGGACAGTGGGAACCAGAGCCACCAGAGGGAGGCCCTGGAGGAGGAATGAAACTGATTCATGTCTGAAGCTGTAGAACAGGGGTGCCGGAACCCGAGTTTCAGTGTTTAATAAAGAGTACCTCCGTGCTGCAGTGGCCATACCTCACAGGGTGTGGTCACTTGGAAATTTCTGCTTGGAAATGCTTTGTGCAGTGGCCAGAATGTGTTAGGGGCCACGCATGACTGCTTGCTCCATCGCAGAACAGTTACAAGTTTCTAAACGAGCATTCATAGACTGAGCTGCATCCTGCCTCCCTGTCCTCTCATTCCTGACTTCTTCTCTGATCTGTGAAGCCACACAGAATGTGTTTGCGTCTGTTTCCTGCCCTTCAGATGATGGAGGACCATGGAAGCTGCTGCTCCTTTAGCTCTCTTCTCCAGGGGAATTGCCCTCGTCACTGTTGGGGAACCCCTGGTCCAAGTCCTGTCCTCCGAAGACCTCTGCCCCTCGTGGAGTCCTGAGTTGAACTTGGTGTTCACCTGGCCTCTGGCTCTGGCAGTGTGTTGCTCCTTCCATTGACCTGCCACTGCTCTATTAATGCAGACTGACCTTAATCTGTTTCGGCTTTAAGTGATTAACTCACTTTCTCGGCTCTTATTGTATCTTGTCCTTTGGGATATGAACGATTATTTAAATTTGGATTGATTACTGGCTTGGCACGGTGGCCCATGCCTGTAATCTCAGTGCTTTGGGAGGCCAAGGCAGGAGGATCCCTGGAGGCCAGGACTTTGAGGCCACCCTTGGCGACATAGTGAGATCCTGTCTCTACAAAAAATAAAAACTAGCTGAGCATGGTGTTGTGAAGCTGTAGTCCTAGCTACTTGGGAGACTGAGGCAGGAGGATTACTTGAGCCCAGGAGTTTGCAGTTACAGTGAGCTGTGATCACACCCCTGCACTCCAGCCTGGGTGACAGAGTGAGACGCTATCTCTTGGTGCCGGGGGGAGTAATGTCTATACTTGAGAAGCTTTTTTTCCTCAAATAGTCGGTACCTATAAAGTATTAATCAGTTTTGAGCAGTCCTTTCGTGATTCTTTTGAGTCTTGATTCTGGTGACCAGTAAGTTGTATACATTTGCCTGTCAAGTGGATAAACATGGCCTTTGTGCCTTTAAGTAATGCCTAAAAGTACCAAACAGGACAGAGCCTGGCATAGGTGCTGCTCCTCCTGTTCCTAGGCCGTAATCACCCCTGATTCATCAGACCCCAAACAATTCAGCTCCTCACCGTCCTGTGCCCCAACACCCGATCTCCTGCAAGAAGATGTCCTGGAGACCCCTGTCAGTGCTAGGCAGAGATCACCATCCATGTCCACCTTTCCTCTGATGCAGGCTCCCACCAGGCCCTCTGGCTTGTGCCATGCCATCCTTGAACTCACCCTCGTGCCCGACCTGAGCCCTTGCACAGGCCGTTCCCTCTGCCTAGAATGCTCTTCCTCAGTATCCCCGTAGTTCCCTTCCTCCCCTTCCCTTGTATCGTGACTCTCCCATAGCACCTCTCTCCCCCTAACACATGTTCACAGGTTCATCTTCGTCACCCATCTCTGGCAGCTCCTGCAGGCTTGATGACTGCTAAAGGCAGGCAAGTCAGTGGCTCAGATTCTTGCAAACTTAGTGATTTGTGATTTCTCAGCTCCCTTCTCATGCCTCCTCCGTCTCTATAGGCACATATTATTTCTTATCTCTTCTCGGAACCAAGAGGTGCTGGCTGAATTTCTGGATAGCATTGTTTAAGTGTTCTGTGTATGCAAAGGGAAAACGAGAGAATAAAAGGATTATTAAGGAAGAATTAGTATAGTAATAGCCACATATTATGCTCTTTTTATACTCTGCTAAGTGCTTTACACAAATTACTTCCTTTAATTAGTCAACTTTATGAACGTCAACATTTTTATGAAACCCATTTTACAGGTGGGTGAGTGGAGGCTGGGAGTGGCTTAAATCACCTTCCCCAAACCAGGGAGTTAGTGGGAGCCAGAGGCAGGACCTGAGCTCATGGGTCTGAGCTCCAAAGCTCGTGCTCTGAACCGCACACAGCATTGGGCTGCAGCCAGAGATGTAGGACCCTGCGGGACCTTCTGGAGGTGGTCCTGCCTGTGCTTCCCTCTTCCTACAGGAAGCTCCCTGTAGGCATCTGTGTTGGGTGTGGACTCTCAGTGTAGCCACATGTCTGCCTGTTGGGCAGGCACCAACACTGAATGGAAAACATGTTTCTGGGCATTTTAATGTACGGACTTGACTTCAGTCAATCTCCCCCGCCCCCTTCCACCCTGACCGCCTCCCTAATAGTTAGCATTGGCACTGGAGTGTGGATGGCAACTGATTTCTGTCTGAGAGGACAAATCAGGCATCTTTGTCCTCTGCCACTGTCTGTTCCCCATCCTTAAGGTGTACAATGCCAGAGCCCTCCACTGTGGTCTGTGACCACTTTGACCCACGCCAGCAGGTCTCCATATGTTCCCTCCAGCTGAGAGACATCACATCCAAAAACAGTTTAGAGCTCTGAGGTTTCTTTCCCCAGAGGTCCCTGCTTTGTGCAAACTGTCTCCAGCTGAGCGTGCACAAGACGCTGTTCCTGCTTTGCCTGGGTGGCTGAGCCATGGGCAGCTGAGCCTGCAGCCGCTGGACTCACTGCATTCCCACTCTGACTTTGGCATGGGAGACACACAAGTGTGCTTGTGAGAAATAGATCTTAACAGTACCTTTTAATACCTATTTCAGGTGCTCAAAATGACTGCCTGTTTTACATTTATATTCTGGCAGTGCAAACTTCAATTGGACAGGAAGTCTTACAACCTTTCTTCCAGGTGAAAAAGTGAGGCAGGGATATTTATATGGTTCCATCCAGGTCATCCCACTTGGAAGATACTAGTAAAACGAACCAACGGTAATATAAAAACCATGGTGTTTGCAATAGTGATAATGTTACTAGCAAAGGAAAAATAGAAATTTTCAGTAATTTGGAGATTATTATTTTTAAATAGGTGGGCTAAAACAAAAAACCTGGAGAGAAGGGTGTTAAGTGAATAAGGAGTGTGTCTCCAACTAAATATAGTGTAAAGAGAGAAGAAAATACAAAGTCAGGCACAGTGGATAGACGTGGATAGTCTCATCTCTAATAGTATAATGGACAAACTTGTCTCAAACAAAATTAGTCTGCCTCTTGTTTACTCAGGGATATGTGACTGTTTTCT